CATACTACTTGGTAGTAAAAAACCGTTGGAAAGGAAGATAGAAAGAGGGAGAAAAGTTAGTGCGTGGAACAAAGGATTTGACATTTATATAAGATGTCTCCGTGTGTGTGAGAAGTGATGCAAGTCTGGAGAATGAAAAGTAATGAAAAGTTGAAAGAAACTGGGTTTGTTGCACATGGAGTTTGTTTTCTATATTATATTTTGTGGTGATGCAGTGAATATTGCACATCTTTTCATAGTTATCAGCCCACTTGGAGACATCTTTAATAGGCCTGTAAGCATTTTTTTTTGTTGTTCTGCAAATGAAGGGATCTCAGTTGATCCTTGTATGCGCTGCTGCATTTCTTAGGCAAGCTCTTTGTAGTACTGCATATTTCTGATGCTGCCCATTACCAGCCAGTGGTACGCACAGTGATCTGTCCCAGCCCTCTGAAGGAGTTCAGAATGGTACTGGAAGCATTTCTGTTTTTACTTCTGTTAATCTGTTTTCCATGAAGCGACCGTATCTGATTTGAAGAGTGGTGGTCACGCAAGTATCAAAGAATAAGTGCAGCAATAGTAATTCTGTAAGCACTGCCTTACAGCAGTTCTGCCAGCATTCACAGGACAGGATTCACAGGTCCTATCAGTGCTTTAAATCAGTATGTGTAAATTAAATTTTGTTTATTGCAAAGTACAGCAACTTATGGATTTCAGTGTATGTAAATGTGGTTGGTTTTTTTTTGCTGTTGTTTTTAAAAAACCTGAATAAACAGTGCAGTTGAGGTCTGTAGGAAGCTGTGAAGAGCTAGTGCTTCTATGCTTTAGAAGTAGTCTTAGAGAACCATCTTTCAGTTTCCTGTCTCACCTGTTTTAGGAGTCTGCAACTGCTGATGCTTGGGTCTTAGTTAAAAGCACCAGTAGGGAGCAAGGAATTCTAATGTCATGAAACTGTTCTACCCAGTGTTCAGTACATTTGTTCTGTGGCCATTATTTTTAAGTTTCCTTCATTATCCCCGTAATTATTAGGAGGATGGAGAAATTTCTACACATATAGGTGTGAACTGTTGTGTAATGCCATCAGAGCAGTTTGGTCCAAAAATTAGCAGAAGTCCCTTCAGAAATAAAAGAGCATTTTACCTGGTAAGGAGGATTTCCAAATTGCCCTGAATTGGCCTCTGTGCAAGTTTGGAGGTAGTTCACTTTCAGGACTAACATAATATGGTCCACAAAAGCCATTATAGTTAGAAAAAAAACAAGAGTCTTTTCCCCCTAAACTTATGTGACCAGAGAAGTAAGTGATTCTGTAGCTCTGCTTGGGGCTCCTGGAATTTCCTAACAGTGCAATACAGCAATGCACATTAGGGATGCTTGGAAAGGGTTGGACATTTTCCAACTTGGTTTTTTTTTGGCTGTACCTTGGGCTGAAAGAACCAAACCCTACCTGAGGGAATGAAATACTTTGAACTGTATCCCTATCTCTAAAAAGAACCAGAAATAACAAAATACCCGGTCTGAGACTGCTAGCCCCAAGAAAGTAGGGAGTGCTAGAATAACAGGAAGAGGGTGTGTTTTTTTTTTGTCAAGAAATAGCCATTTGCACTGCCACTTTCAGCAGAGAGGAAGGATATATACGTCTATGTTTGCACGTTCAACTTCAGTGTTGCAATGTTGCAGCATCGTTGCAAGCTAATGGAATTTTTACTGGAAAATTTTTCTCAGGAGAGTCACAGATTACCAGACAATTTGTGGAATACACTTGTGCAGTGTATGAATGTAGGCACAATAATGTCAGTAACTCTCTCCTATCTCAGACATACAGAGATGCATTTTGACTTCAAGTCAAGCTAAAGGGCAGGTGCTTAAGGTAAAAGCCTATGTATTTTCTTGATGTATTAAATGCAGTCAGATGATTGAAGTTCAAAAAAATCCTTATTTTTTCACTTGTTAATTTATTATTTTTTTTTTTACCCTTTTGCTGTATGATTGAAATGGGAAGTGTCTGGAACTCAGCAAGGGTGACATTTATTCTTGGGAGAGTGGGAAAAGATTAAAAGTAGAAACAGCTGATGAGGCAGGACGGATGGCTGTGCAAAGAAAGTAGGAGGAAGAGAAACGTGAACATCTGCTAAAGCTGTACCAGTGACCCTTTTGGCTATGTTGCAGTTCCTTTTGAATTTGTTATTCAATAGATGTCACCGCTATCACTGAGAAACACAGCATGCTCCTGTGCTTTCTCTTTTGGCAATCGTAATGAAGACAAAAAGTTCTTATTTTTGCTGTTGCTTTTGCTGTTATTTTTGTTTGCTTGGTTTGGTTTATTTCATACTTTTTGTGTGGGATTGGCTTCTTTTTCTTTAGTTTTTTGTTTTTTTTTTTTTCCCCATTTTCATTTTTTTGTGCTCCCCTGATGTTTTGGCAACATGCATTAAGAAAAAAAAAAGAAATTTTAGAGATATGAATTGCTATTGAAATTTGCCCTTCTCATCCCACTGATGGTCTTTTACTGGGAAAACAGGCCGGGCACCAGAACTATTAGTTCTGAGGTTGTGCCCCCTGGCTTACAGTGAGTGGCGTTGAAGGATGCTGCATAGATTCCTGCCATCTTTTCCCACAGGTTAACTTCCATTACACTCAAAGTTAATCTTGGTCTAATAAAAATGTCCACTTTTCCCCACAGTAGAATCGTTGAAGATGTGTAACAGTAGAACAGCACCTTGGGAAGCATTATTATTATTTAAAGAAATCTAACAGTGGGTTCTTCTATTGTTAACTTCTGTGCCTTGTGCATCTCATGCCTCCCAATAATGAGAGTCCTGAAAATTGTATTAGTTTCTGAGCTCATAAAAACAGATGCTATATAAAAACAACCTTGCTTTGTCAAGAGTACTGTCCTGCTACCTCATTCAATAACTGAGTATACTGCTGTCCATTGCTAAGAAAGATTTTCATCTTGCTGTGAAAGTGCTTGTCCTATCCAACTGAAATAAACTTTGAATGAATTTATCTGATGATGAAAGAAATGCTTTGCTGAAGTCCGACATGATTTGCTGAAATAGGCATCTGAATGACCCTGCATTTTGTAATTAAATCCAATAGTAATATTTGGGAAGATAATGCTTTTTTTCCCTCTATGTATAAGTTTTTGTATTTACAAGTTAGTAATTGCAAGGAATAAGTAGAAAGCATTGTGAAAATAATAGACTTAATCTTTTATCACTTGAGGAGAATTGATAACTTAATGCTGGATGCTGGAGTATTTGAAAGGAATTGTCTACAGAACCACTAGATACAGACACTTAAAGGAACTGATCCAAAGGGTGACTTTTTATATTGTGAAACATAAACAGTCATGAACTGTGAAGCAACACAGATGAGTTTTGCTGCTGTTCGTACGATATCATATACGTAAAGAAATATAAGTAAGGTTAATCAAGGGCCATATCTAATCTTAATTTCAAATTTCTCATCCACTGTCTCTTGTAGCAAAAGGATTTTTGGAACTATTGTGGGGAAAATTATTTTGAACTTCTTCACGTGCAAAAAAACAAAGAAATATAAAATAACGATCGCTATGTTCTACTCGATTGCTTTCTTTGTTCTGTGAACATTCTGTATGGCTTTTAAACCTCTGCAGATGTGCTTTCACATGTCTTGGAGAGAGCAGGGAACATTTAGAGTATTTCTTTACATCCAAGTAGTTCATTTTGATTTTCTTAGAATGCCGGTGTTCTGGTTCTTTCTCTCCCAGGTAAACAGGCACAACTAAAAATGTCATAAGAATTTTATCAGGTTTGAATTACTGTACCCCTTTCCCAATTATCACATACAATTGAAACCACATCATGCCATTACTAATATGGGTGTCTCCATCTGTATTTTCTATTCACTTGGTGTTCAGTCATTAAACATGGATATTTAGATGTTTTTAATTAACAATGTGTTTAGTAACAAAGACCAAAAAGCTGCCGTACTGTGTGACAAATGGTGATTTCTGCAATTAGCACTTCACTGTAGTTCTCATCAGATGTGGATTTTTTAAAGAACTGTTGGATTGCATTGCAAAAATATTTTGTGTGTGTCAGTTGGTCTTCCTATTAATCTTTTAAAAAAACTTCAAAACAGCATACTTGAAATCCAGTGCTCCACTGAATTACCTGGGCAATTTCCAGCAATCAGTATTAGAGGCTTGCATGCCAGCAGTAAAAATAGACGGAGGATCACTGATACAGTCTTGCTCTGGATTAAAATGGGGCAGCAGTAACTGAATTTAAAACAGGTTTCTTGTATTTCTATCAAGATTTAGTCTGTACAGCCTACAAAATGCTGTTTATTGAATTACAGTTAAGAAGACTCAGAGCCACTGTATTGGCAAAGTAGGTGCAGAACGCTTGCTTTTTGTGAATGAGATGTTCTAGAAGTATTATCTTCTTGTAAAATTCTCTGTGCTGGGCAATGTACTGTCACTTGTTTCTTGTGCACCACCTGTAGGTTGTGATGCTGGATAGGAAAAAAAATCCAAAAACAAGCACAAGTATCATCGCAGGTCAAATGTGCCTTGAGTCAGGAGGAAGGTTTGCATGAAGATATTCAGACAGCAGCAGCCCTCTTGCTTCAGTAGCAGTTCAATCTTTGAATTAAGTAGGCAACTCAGATCTTGGCCGTTGGGACCTGTTAATTGTTGTCTGTCTGTTAGAATTGATATCAGCTACCAAATTGAGATAAACCCTCTGAAGAAATGGTATTAGTTGAGGCCATGGGCGGGCCCTTCCTGCCTGAACTGTGAGAGATGGATGTGCTGGTGCAGGCAAGATCTGGGTGCTGGAATTTGCTATGGTGAACTGAATGCACTTTCTTCACGTGATATTGTGCATCTCCATGTAGGTCAAAAGACACTAGGTGGAATAAAAATTGGGTGGACCTCCACTGATTTGTTCTACTGCATAAAGAAAATATGAAGTCATTCATCAGTTGTTGCTTTCACAAAATAACTTTTTTTCCTATATTTTTTTCTATGGCAGTTTGCATTAATTCAATCACAACATAAAATACACTGCGTCAGAAATAAAAATGACAAAAAACTGGATCACATTCTTGCTGTTCTTCCTCTCGGTTACTTTGGTGAGTTTTATCATTTTTTGTTTTTAAAATCAGTATCATTTGAGCAAGGCTGTACAGAATACCATAGGAATTTTTATTTTTCTATAAGGTAATGATGTATTCAAATACAGTTTCTGCAGAGCAGGATTACTATCTGTCTTCCTTTTATTAACAGTACTAAAGGAACAGTAATAGTAATTGCTTCTGTTGAACCAAATGTATCTTTTGCTAGCATAGAAGTTTATGGTAACAGGTGACATGTGACATACAAGTAGTGCTGTGTAATTTCATGGAAGAGTGGGGAAGACTTATCGCACAGATTCGAAGGAAATCCTAGGGACTTTTAATTTCTTTGCTTACATGAGAAAGATACAGGATTTCTATCTGCAGGTGTTTTATTTTCCATGAAGCTTAGTTGATTCAGGTAAAACTTGCTGCTTCTTTAAAAATGTAGTTGAAAGTTTAAGATTGACTTTTGTGTGTGTGCAAGTTTTGTTTTGAAAAACTACTGCAGTGGATTTCATGTCATTTGAACACTTCTCTGTATTCTGAAGATTGACTGCTTCACAAGACCATAGATAAATGAGACAGTGTATAAACTAATCAAATGCTTTGACTGTGTGGGCAGCCTTTTCATGAAGGATCATTTTGTTTCTGATCCAAATGCCTCTTAAAAGAATACAAATATCATATACTGTACTGTATGTTGAAAAAGCTGTCTATGCACTTGTGATTGTTTCCATGCTGTCTCTGCATTTTTTAATTATTTTTTATGAATCTTGCAGATATTTATTCCTCCATGCTCAATCAGGTGATATTTGCCAAGATTCAGTAATAAGAATTGTTAAATAAGCCAGAAAAACACAATATCAGATTATCAGTAGTAAGATTTGAAGATCACTTTGCTTCAGTAAAATTATATTTCAAATGTATTATTTTAAGATTTTGAAATTTTATTATCGGTTGGTATGTGAGTGGTAGTTTAAAATTGGTTGAAAAAAGATGACTTGCTAAAAAATTCTTTTTCCTCCTAGTTATTTGCCACTGCTATTCCATCTGAAGGTCATCAGAATATGACAGAGGACTTTGGTCAACTGAGTTTTACACGGAATAAAATTATGACAGCACAGTATGAATGCTACCAGAAAATTATGCAAGATCCCATTCATAGGAAAGAAGGTAGAGTTTACTTTCTCCCAAGATTTTCCAAAGGGAAGGGCCCAACATATAATTAAAGTAATTCAGGATCCTGAGCCTTTATTTATTTTCATGTCATGTCTTGGTAGCAATCATTCTTTCAGGCTTTTTGTACAGTTTTTTAGAAACAACATTAAAGTAATATGATGTATATCACCTGACACAAATCTTTTATTTTTGATAAGAAAATGTTAAAGAAATATTCAGATTTTTAAAATTGCGACTGTTTCTGCATTATAATTTCTGAAAATATTAACTGGTTCTGGGGAGAAGAGGCAATTGCACTCTTTCACAAAATGTTTTTTTCTCTTCTGAGATGTTTCTTTGAGGAAAACAAATGTCTGGAAGCCAGAAATGGATATGGGAGTGTTTATGTAGAAGCTTATGTAGAGGCCAGGGCACCACAACTTCAGAACAATATGGACAAATTGGAAAATGTCCAGATCAGGAGTAGAGGAAGTATGGTGTTTGAATCTTCACGATAGTTTGAGGAGCAGGGAGAAGGTGGTATTATTTTTTTGAATAGAAGACTGAAGGAAGACAGAAAAAATATTTTTCCAATCTGTGGTCAGTCCTTCTGCATGTGTTCTGGGAAAGAAATTTGTTATAAAGCCCCAGCTGATTCTCAAAGGAAGTTTATTTTAGGTGTTCTAAAACAGATCTACACTGAGTACAGTGAGGGATTAAAACAGGCTCTTGAGGGACTCCGCAACATCCCTGACCTTGAATGGACAAATAGCTGCAGGTTCATCTCTGAGGAAGAGAAACATGGCTGCCTCCCAGATAGGCTTTCTGATTGTTTCTAGGATACCATTTAGTTTTCGGTGAGCTAATAAACACATGTATAGCTTAGGTATACATTCAAAATGTAAATAAATTCAATAAAAGGGTCTTGGCAAAATCGTAGAACCATAGAATGGCTTGGATTGGAAGGGACCTTTAAAGATCATCAACCCCCTGTCAGGGCAGATAAGATTCAGAGATCTTTGTTGTGCGTTTTTTGGTTTGAATTGGTTTACTTTGCTTTGCCCAGAGAATATTACCCTGCTGTGCTCTAGATCTCACGTGTTTTATGAACTGTAGGGATAGATAATTTAAAGAGGAATGGTAACGGATTTTAAAATGTATTCTGAGAAATATACCTAAAAGGAGGTGTTTCTATTACATGAAATATTAACTGCTGGTTAATTTTAAGTTTCCATTTTTATCTTTACAAAGCAAAGTGTGCAAATGAGAAGCTTACCTTGTCCGGTGTTATACCTTATGTTTGAAAGACTGCTATGAAGGAAGAGTTATTTTATTACCAGTTGTCCACTTGTTTCTAGGTCCTTACTGTAACAGGACGTGGGATGGCTGGTTGTGCTGGAGTGATGTTGCTGCAGGAACTGTATCAGTACAGCATTGTCCTGACTACTTCCAAGATTTCAATCCATCAGGTAAGTGTGTGCATGGACTTTCTACATAAACGTATTGCTTAATGAAAGGAGTTTTTGGGTGCTTGATGCCTACTCTTTGCCTTACTCAAGCCACTAATGCATCAGAATTTCAGTAGCTTCAAATGCATTATTTGCACTTCACCTTTATCACAGAAAAGTGGAGGGCTTAGCTCCTGGTGCTGAGCTTTACCTTCTGAGAGGAAAGCAGAAATGTAATATTTTTTTTACCTCAATTTGGCAGCCGAAGTTAACAAGTGTTTCTCCCACAAGTGAGTCTTTTCCAGTAAGCTGAACTTTGCCACTGTGTGAGCATGTGGAAAATGTCACAGACTTCCACTCTTGTCAGCTTCTGCTGCATTTGCTATTTCCCAAGGTCTTCTGGTGCCCGTTTCTATTTGATTTAATCATTATGTGGTCCTGGAAATTCTCCAGTCTGATTCTAGAGTGGTTTCTCTATTGATGTTTTCCTGCCTGTTCAATTTACAGTGGTAGGATGTTAGACTTCCATTTATATCTTGCATGTTGAAGTAGCCATTTAAGTATCCTTGTCACTTCATCTGGTAGTTCTGTAACAGCTTGATATATTTTGATTGTATTTTGTAGAGGGGAAATGTATTTGTTTGGTTTTCTTTTTTTTAAGAAAAAACACATCATTAGTTGCCCTTGCCAAGCAAAAGCAATGGCCTCTGGTTTCTCAGAATTCCAAGTAACAAGCAACGTCTCTCTAGTCATATTAATAAAGCTGTCATTTGTTTGCCAATCTTTTTCACGAAACACGAGGATCAGGAAGTAGAACTTCACTGCTGACTGTTGTTTTTTTGCCTTGTTTCTTTTTCTTTTCGACTACTCTGACTGCCTGTAGAAAAAGTTACAAAGATCTGTGATCCAAGTGGGAACTGGTTTAGACACCCAGAAAGCAACAGGACATGGACAAACTACACCCAGTGTAATATCTATACGCACGAAAAAGTGAAGGTAGGAAAGGAATCAATGCATGTCACCAGTCTCAAGAAACTCATCTGTGAAGCTTGAAAAATTCTGGCATGCACAGTGTCTCATCTAATAATTCTTAAAGCTTTACCTGTAATCTATTTATGTGATTACACAAGTCTGCAGCCTTTCAAACATTAAATTGGACTAATAGGTTGAGTGGACGTGTACAGTATCTATTGTATGAGCTTATGTATGCAGGCTGTGATTCCTTCTTACACAATCTAGATAACTATGTTTTATCCTGGTAATATAAGGTTTAACCTAAAGATCTTTCTTTTTTTTCTGTGTAAGATGATGATTTTTGTAATTGAAAACAAAAAAAGCAAATTTGTGAGGCAGGTTCCATAATTGAAAGCAGAATTTTGTTATTGGTAGAATTGAAACTATTAATTCAAGTAATTGATGGTAACATCTTGTACGTATGCCTAACATAACTTTACTAGTTCTTCATTATTATTTTGCTCTCCATCTAGCTTTTCATAATACTATAATTTGGCTGCAGATTTGTTTGATTTTTCCATTTAGTCTTTGATAGTTCAGAATCATTGTTAATTTTTTTTCATTCTTAAAACAAAACATTGGTACAAAGAAAATATCTTTGTAAGAGGAAAAAATTATGGGAGGAAAAAATGCACATTCATATGTGCAACACATTATTTCCTTTAAGAGATGTTTGATAGATGAATCCAATCTCAGATGGGAGTGCACTGAGCACGGTAGCAGAAATGACCAGTTTTTACATAAATACTCAGAAAAAACATAGTGTGTATTTAAAAGCCTGATGTTTTAACATCTAAGAGAGAATTTCAGGTGTTTTAAATGAATCTGGTTTTTGCCCAACAGAAAGCGATTTTAGTAAGATGATTTGCAGGATTCTGGATTGGCTCATTATCAGTAAAGTTTTTATTTTCTGAATCCCATTACAGTCATTTTGTAAGTAGAGAGATGTATAAGCATGTTCTTCCTTAATAATTCTGCATGAATCACATGTGCTTCGTTTTATTCTTCTGTTGCAGACTGCTCTGAATTTGTATTATTTGGCCATCATAGGACATGGTCTTTCAATTGCCTCACTTCTGATTTCTCTTGGCATATTCTTTTACTTTAAGTAAGTACACTTAATATTTTTTACCAAATCTTAGTGCTTGCCACAATACTGGTTTCAATGTTTTTGAAACACAGGCCTTCCCAGTAAATCAGATGGAGCAACAAGGTGGAAAAAAAATCAGTATATTGGTTTGGCATTGAACATGCTGTTATAATAAAATTTTAGGTTTCTATCCTCAGGAACCTAGAATTCCCGATCTGCAAATTAAAAATTGTAGCAGATGTTGGAAATGGGGAAAATGGCACTTAGAAAACACACCCAACTACTAAACAAGCATTTCTGATGGAGAAGGCTTGCTTATGTTTGTTTGTTTTTAATTATAACTTAAGATGTGGATATGTCAAGCCTGGGTCATACTAAAGAGTAAATGGAAACCAAAATACTTACGGTATATAAGTCACACGTATGGTGTAACATGGCATGTAAGTCACATTCTGAAGTAAATAGCCACGTAACACAATAAATTGTGAAGAAAATAAAGCTAAAAGCAACATTAGGAATGACAACTATAAAAATAATCTTAATTTTCCTTATTCATTGTATTATTTTTCTGAGAGTTCTGTTCTGTCCACTCTTTAGCAGTTACTATGTCATCTTACAAGCAAGCCTGAGTAGTGTGTTGCCAACGTAACCAATTTCATAACTTGGAGTATAGCGTGTGGGTCTTAAAAAATTGTCTGCTTCAGACTTTGCTCACTTTTTTTTTGTGTTTGTAAGATGATGAGGCTTAGTAGAAAGCTGAAACCAGTGTCACTGCAGGGTTGCCACATGAGCAGAGCTGAGGCGCTGTCAATGACGAGCTGTTCTCTGCCAAATGCTGCATTGCGTGGTGTCGGCTCTCCTTGTTAACTGGCACTCCTTTAATCATTTCTGCATCTGTTCTTCATTGGAAAAGGTGGATTTGCTCTATGATAGATGGATCCACTTTGCAATCTTAGCTGTTTCTCATCACTGTAGCCTTCCATTTCACTCCATCTTTTTTTTTTTTCTTTTTTTTTCCCCTAATATGTAAATAGGAGTAGCACCTACATCAATAATTGTTGGGCATTTCAGATTTTGCTTTTCTCTTATTCCAGACTTTGAGTTGATTTGGTAGGGGGTAGTAGATACCTGCTAAAAATTTTTCCTTTTTTGTCAGATCTGGCAGAAGGTAGTGTTTCCAATTTAGTTATGCATTATTTGCCAAAGTTCTGGAACAGCACTGCAATAAATTCCTTACAGAATGTTTCAAGTTTATAGCTCCTCTTTTTGAAATGCATTTAAAATGATTTTTTAGCTGTTTCTGACTACTTTTCGTATTTCCAAATTCACTTTCCCTCCACAAAATTCAAATTTTACATGGTCCCAAGTCCCTATAGGTTTGATTTCTTGCATTAAAAAATACAGTGCCTTTATTGTGAACCTCATAATAAAGTTCAACAGATGAAAAAATCTCACATGGTAGAAAAAAAAATGCATTGCCATAAATTTGTAAGGTAAAAGCAAAAAGCTTTTGAATACGATTTTAAAAGCTCAAAGACAGCGAATTTTTCTGTGCTACAAATGCAAACCGAGCCAATTTTATCTTAGTTTGTGGTAGTTCCTACAGAAGAAGGTGGTTTGCTTCACTGCCATCACAACTGTTACATTTGTCATACACTCCAGGAACTTTTTTCTCCTTTTTGTAGAAGGATCCTCTGTCTTCAGAGAAGCACATGGAATTAATCTAGACTCAAACACCACAACTTCTAGACTGTGGTTATGTTGGGATGTAAAAGGAGATTACAGAATTTAAAGGAAACTAAAGAAAGTTCTCTACGAGTTATTCTCTTGGGATGTGCAGTTCCTCTAAAGTATTTTTAGTACCAGAAGGATATTTAAGGATCTAGATTAATACCAGGATGTATTATGTATCAGCTGAAGCTTGTGTAATTATTCATAGCTTCTTAACAGGTGGACTTTCTTCTTTTTTTTTAATGCTATTGTGTGGGGAAGCCTATGAATTTATTCTCTTAGGCTGTTTCCAGACAACATTTGCTGGCTTGCTGACCATTGCAGTATCTTCAGGTTTAATTAGAGAAGTGGGGTATTTCTTCATAGGAAAAATGACAGCTTTTTTTTTTTTCCCCAAAATCTTCAGCTTTTCCAACTATCAATTACTTGATTTTCACTGATTTTTTTTTTTTCATATTATTACAGTTCTGTGCATTTTATTTTCAATTTCAATTTTTTTTCTTCAGAAAACTGTATCATTGGAAATATCAGTTCAATTTGTGACTTGTGCTCCTCAAGTGGATTTTTGTTTTGAAATGGGTTATACAAACTTGGAACTCCAGTCTTTCTACTGGAGAAATCATCAGTGAAGACAAGAGTAGTGATTTGCAGTGACTCTCCTTTCTCGTTCTGTTACATACTCAAAATTGTGCATAATTTCATAGATTACTTTTCTTTAAAAAGTTGTATGGTTATTTTCATAAAGAAGGAAAAGTGAGTTAACAGAAAACCTAAAAGAGCAGGGCATTGAGAAAAAGGAAAAAATCTGGAATGAAGGAGAAGCTGTTGACGAAGCATCACCCAGTGATCTGACAGCGCTTGCAGATGTAACCAACACTGAACTTAGTGTGGACAAACACTGGATAAGACAGATGGAAAGATAGTGGGGTTCCTAAATCACTTTAAGTTCACCTAAGCATAAAGGCTAATTCCCCTTGGGTGTATATATGGCTCTCACTTTTTTTTTTTTAATAGAAATTAGAAAATGACATCTTTTTTTCTTCTCGAAATAATTTTTCCTTAGTGCCAAGACATACAGAAGTGAAATTAAAAATACATAATTATACTACATAAAAGTACATAACAGGAGGATTTTGTTATTGTTTTTTATTTTGTGCCATGTGGGGTAAAGCATTCAATGGTAGGTCATCTGAATGCTGATCATCAGTATGAGAATTAGATGACTAAAGGACATAGTGTCACTAAGAAAAACAGTCAGAAGAAGGAAATAGGAAGGATAACAGAAAAGGGAGGGGCAGGGAGTGTAATGAAGAAATGCCTTTATTACCAAAAGCAAATTTCATTTTTAAATGTCAGCAGTCTTGCTTTCTTGTTTCTTGTCCGGTGATCCTTTCAATCCTTTTCTGCATGGGTGGAGGTGGGTGTGGATGGGTGTGTTTGCATATTCAACAGGAACAGCTGCTGGATGACCCCGGGAGATGGCCCCGTTAGTTGTACGTGCTTTTCCTTGCCTCTGCACTGAATCTTAACAATAAGCAGACAGGCTTCCAGAGTTCTTCAGGACTTGTTTATACAAAACTGTTAGCTGGAATCCAGTGCTCCTTTCCTTCTTGCTGTATGAACCGTATAGGAAAAAAGTGCAGAGATGTATATATTCAAAGAATATAAAAACTAAGCATATTTTTATAATCAAACTTCATGTGTTATTTAAACACACAAAGATTAAAAACAACATTAGAAACAAAAGTATTTGTAAAGCCTAATGAAATGTACTTTTTCACTTAATTTATATCCGTATGTGTGCTTTCCTCAGTCAGATAAAGCTTGGATACTAGAAGATGGTTTAGGATCAGAGTTGATCTGTGTGCCACACTGTATGGCAGCACTGGTTTCTAGAGAGTTTTCTCTGACCTATATTTGGGGACATGAGGCTGGAAATGCCTTATGGCTCCAAGGTGTGACTTGCAGAAACTCCAATTTTGTTTGGTGTTTGTTTGAAAAAATCAGTTTCTTTGGAAAACGTGAATGAACAGCACTCCTATCTCTGCAATGACACTGTTAGATCTGCTTTTTTTTTTTTTTTCTTTAGAGTGATGGGTAAGCAGAAATCCGCTATTCCTATGCTCAGTGTTGGGTATAATTTAGAATCACAGAATCATAGATTGTAGAATCCCTACAGTAGGAAGGGACCTGTGAAGACCATCTAGTCCAAGTCCCCTGCAGCTACATCAGGTTGCCCAGAGCCTGATTCAGCCTCGCCTTGAAAGTCTCCAGAGATGGGGCATCAACCACCTCTCTGGGCATCCTGTTCCACTGCCTCACCACCTCCACTGTAAAAGATTTTTTCCTTATATTCAACCTAAGTCTACCCTCTTTGAGTCTCAAACCATTTCCCCCTTCCCTTTACTCTGCACTGGCAGCCAAAGCGGCTGGCTATTGCAAGCCCCCCAAGATGCCTCAGCACTGCAGTATTGCTACATTTAGGGGGGAATTCTGACTTAGAGGTGTTCAGTCATAATCTCACGGATGGCAGCCTCATTCCAGTGGGTCCTCAGCCAAGGGCATACATCAAATGTCTGGACCTGTGGTTTCTTTCATACTGAGCAGGATTACTAGCTGAGGTTACAACAATACATGATCAGTAGGGTAAAACTAAGCTGTCTCACAATGGTCTAATTAAGTATTATTATTTTTATTTTTTTAATAACCCTTTGAAATATATTCTGGTCTGAAATTTTATTGCAATATTCAAAGGAAATGTTGAAAATAAGCACAAACATTTTGCATATTGCATTTTTTAACTTTCATATTCTGTTTATAACTTGATTATACACGATCCAAGATAATATTTTTCACTCTTTTAGTTATTTGGGTATTTATCTAGCTGTAGGATTAGGGAAGAAAAGTGACCAATAATGTGAGTAAAATAGAATTGTCCTCCAAAAATCCTGGCAGATGTGAGTAAACTGAAACACAACTGACACAAATTCCTCAAGCTTGGGTGTGATGGTGAGTTGGAAGATCATCAGACACTAACAAAAGCAGAATGTTTTCAGAAGCATGTTATTACCGGTATCCAAATTATTTTTAGGTAACCACTGTAATGCAAGTCCTTAGTTGTAAATGTATTTGAACTGAACATACTTGTTTTCCTCCTGTTGTCAAATGAACTAGAGATTAAGGGAAGGTATTACCTTTCACATCATTCTATTAAATTTGGACTGGAGTTGAAGAAAGGGTTGATGTAAGAGTGCATAATAAAGAGCTCTAGTATTTCAAAATTTCAGAGTTGTCCCCAGTTACACATAGCTGCCCCCTTGTGTATTCATTTGTTCTTCTTTCTCTTTTCTAGGAGCTTGAGTTGCCAGAGGATTACTCTTCATAAAAATCTCTTTTTCTCTTTTGTTTGCAACTCTGTTGTAACAATAATTTCACTGACTGCAATTGCCAACAATCAGGAATTAGTTGCAGCTAATCCAGTAAGTGAAAGTATATCTGGCAGCTTTGTTGATTTGTGTGTGAAACATTTCAGCGACGTAGAAGGGAGAGATGAAGCATGAACAGTTGATGAAATGCTGTGTACAGCAAGGGCAAAATGTTCAGTAATAATGTATCCATGCTACATATTGCAACAGATGTCAAACAGTGATTTGGGCCCTTCACATTTGAGGTTTTGAAATAATAAAGCAGCCTCAGAGACAAAGTGTACTGAAGTACTCTTCTGAATTTGTGCAGATGACTTCTGCACTGAAACAACTGCAAGAAAGTAGCCTGTTGTTGTGATGTCAGTGAGGTTGTGACAGCCGAAGTTTGGTAGTGTATTCTGGCTCTCTCAGCAACTTTTTTAGGGCTTTTGCTTTCGATCTCGAGTTGAAATGGAAATACTTTTTGTCTCTCTCTCATTGGGTTAAGTGTGAATGAGTAGCCTCTCCTGCAAGGCTAGGAACTGAAATGCACATACAGATCCCTAACTGTGGCTTTATTTTTAATTAGATGTGGAAGATAAGTTTTAATTCTATGACAGGGTAAAAATCCTTGATTCCAACAGCTTCTGGAAAAAGATCAATTCTCTCTTCTGTGAAAGCTCATAAAAATAATGAAAAACAGGCTTGAGTTAGCTGCTAATAATCATTAATATGTGAAGTAGCAGAACACGGTAAAACATTATTGCGTTGTTTATTTGGTTTAAGCTGGTGGACAAAGGAAGGGCAACTGATGTCATCCACTTGGGTTTGTGCAGGGCCTTGGACATGGTCGCACACCACATTCTTGTCTCTAAACTGGAGAGAAATGGATTTTGAAGGGTGGACGATTAGATGGATAAATAATTGGTCACAACCACAGGGCTGTGGTCATCAGCTCTATGGCTAGATGGAGGCTAGTGATGAGTTGTTTCTCCCGAGAGTCCTGTGCAGAAGGACTTGGAGGTCCTAGCGGATGAAGAGATTGACGTGAGCCAGCAATGCACTGTTGTACCTCTGAATGCAATCAGTATCCTGGGCTGCATTCAAAGAGGGGTGACAGCAGGTTGAGAGAGGTGACTGTCCCATTCCCCTCTACTCCGTCCATGTGAGGTCTCATTTGGAGTACTGGATCCAGGTCTGGGGCTTCCAAGCAGTTGGCCTTCCTTAGCTCAGAGAACAGAAAGCCCTGGGGAGACCTCATTGTGGCCTTCCAGTATGGAAGATGGAGGCTGATTTATTCTGCAGGCAGATAGTGATAGGACAAGGGAGAGAATGGCTTTAAAATAAAAGGGAGGAGTTCTAGATGATATATTAGGAGGACATTTTTTTCAAAGGGGGTAGTGGAGCTCTGACACAGGTTGCTCAGAGAAGCTGTGGCTGCCCCATCCGTGGAGGTGTTCAAGGCTAGGAAGATGAGGCACTGGTGGCTGGCAATCCTGCCCATGGCAGGTGGGTTGGAAGTAGATGATCTTTAAGGTCCCTTCCAACCCAATTAATCAAGCACACTGATTTCCATAGGAGAAAACAGGAGAGAAATAACAGCATCTTATTTCTTATTTGCAATTTCACTCTTTTAGTCTTTACAGCAAGCTCTTACGTAACACTACAATTGAAGAATGTCAGGATATTTTGAATGAGCCTAATATTTGCAATCAAGAATGCTTATGACTAGAATCGACCGTATGAACTGTACCCTGGGGCTAATTTCAGTTGTGACTAGGTTTAAATTGGAAATATTGTAAGGATGTTTAGAATGTTTATCATTCTGTATGTTGTGACTGGTATAACTGCCAGAGAATTAGCTTCTTCAAACGGTGTTTTTTTAATGCGTCTGTTAATTTGAGGGCTCCATTTTAACTGGAATGATCAAACGTGTCACTATTTGTGACAAAGAGAGATATTATCATTACTGCTTCCTGCCATCATGCTTGAGGATGTTCGCTTCTTATATTGGCTTAGTAAAAATAGACTGGCTATAAAATATGGAATTTGAATTCTGTAAAATAAAATATTTTTTCCAAGTACTTCTCTGTGAGATTTTTGCAAATTAAGAATTCATATTGCACTGTGTTTTCTTTTCCACAGGTTAGCTGCAAAGTGTCAATGTTTATCTACCTGTACCTAATGGGTTGCAACTACTTCTGGATGCTGTGCGAAGGCATTTACCTGCATACCCTTATTGTGGTGGCTGTTTTTGCTGAGAAACAGCACTTGATGTGGTATTACCTTCTTGGCTGGGGTACGCAATTTCACACTGTATTTTCAGGCCAGTGCTATCTTTAACTCCTTTTCATGAGCGGTTGAACAGCTGTCCTGTTGCTTCTCTGAGGTGGTAGATTTGAACAATGACAGCATGCCCTTCTTCTTTGTCTGTTATGTTTTAACAGGCCTAGAAATATTAATATAGGAAGTTGAATGTAGCTCTATCTTTGCTGAAAGAGAGATTGTTTCTGTTGTCAGGAAGTGACTCCTCCTTTGTACAGAGAAAATAGTCTCTTATTATAAAAAGACATTAAGAAGTAATTATTCATTGTTCCTCACTGAAGATATTTATTCAGGAATGAATGTTTGTTTTCAGAGAAGTCTTGCCATGTCTAGGGTGGAGGGTCAAAACTGAATGGCTAAGAACTTATTTTTCCAGCGGTTCCATTTGACCTGTATTGTTCACTCCGCAAATACAGAGTAGCTGTAGCTAACGATCTGAAGTAATGTCCGTGTTAGAACTAATAAGCCAAACCCGGTGGTTTCAGATAGTGTAGAACAACATATACACAAAGTGCGAGTAAGGACTTGTTCCTCAGCTTATTGCATGGGCACTTTCAGCTACAGCGTGACTCGGTGCCTGTGTCACTGGCCGCACCACAATGGGCACAGCTGAGATGAGGCTGACAGCTAACATGTACTCTGTGGTTTCTAAAAATAGGGATCACCAGGATGTGAAGCACCTCAAATAATTATTCTTTTAAATTTAGTACATGCCAGGTTTCTAGCCTGTTTAATTTTATTTAATTCTTTATTTTTGCAATGTTTTATGGATACCCAGAAAACACCAGGAGGAACACAGTTAACATGGTTAATCATGTTATTTATATACAGTTACAGACAGAGGTATACTTATCTTACTTAGCGTTGAGCGTTACTGCAGGTTGTAGCAGATTCACAGAAAACCATCTGTGTTAATATTCTAAATAATTATAAATTTTGATTTGCCTCTTCTTTCTATACGTTGATATGGATTTTCAGATAGGAGAGTGGGAATAAGGTTTCATTCACTCCTCTAAAATAAATCTGGGAAAACAGAAACTGGATTGATCCTTTTTTTGCTCTGCACTTACAAATGATTTGGATGAGGTGGAAGATCTCTGCAGAAGATGCAAGTTTGGTTAGCTATTTATTTATTGGCCAGTAAGTTTATGTATTAAGAAAATGCTTCTTATTCGCAGGTTTTCCACTGATCCCTGCCTGCATACATGCTGTTGCTAGAAGCTTGTATTATAATGACAAGTAAGTAGTATCTCAATTTGCTTTGCAAAATGATTATTTTTAGTTTAAGGAGAAGAATAAGGAATAGAACAGAGAACAAAATACCAAATGTTTTTCTTTCCTTGCTTCTTTTCTCTAGCTGTTGGATCAGCTCTGATACTCATCTGCTCTACATCATCCATGGCCCTATTTGTGCTGCTCTATTGGTAGGCATTTTTCAAATAATTTTTCTCACTTGACTTTTTAAAATTGTTCTTGGTGGCTTATAAAGTAGTTTTAGGCTCTTTCCTAACAGTCATTCATTTACAGGATTCTCACTTAACCCAGTAAGTGTCCTAAAAACATAAGATACCTATGTCTTGGCCTTTCTATGGAGCTATTACACAAATCTTTGCTATTGAAGAAATGAATTTGAAGTAATTTAAGACTTCACTTTACTTAAATCAATGTTATATTTAAATTATTCTAAGATTGAGTTTAACCAAATAAATTCAGTCAGTAGTTAATTTCTAAATAGGAATAAGTTCATAGTAAAAGAAAATGCTAACAGACATAATTACCTTAACAGAAACTTGAAGCTCGTCTGGCAAAGATATTAAATATCTGTGTAATGACTTTCCTTATGACTTCCAGTTTGTGCTAGGAAATTAAGAATGATAACATTAAGTAACCTTCAGAAACATTTTGGTTTCGGATGTATATGAACTTCCTCTGCTTTTAAATGTTTTCGGATATTCATGGGGCACTTCTGTGCAGAGAGAAATCACTCTGAAGACTGTTCCATAATTCCTGTGGTTCTTGTGATTCAGTTTCAGTCACAGTGAAGCTGACTGGTGAATGTATATTTTATAGGCCATTTTGACAGCATGACACATCTGTGATCCTCTGCTTGGGAAGCCAGAGGTAGTCCCCATGAAATTATTGAGATCCATGGCCCTCGGCATGTTACTGATAATACCTTGCTCTGTTAGGTCATCCACACATGTTGTCTTAAAGACAGGTTAACTAGTACTTTAATTTTTAAAGCTAAAACCAGATCTAAATCCTTTAATCCAATTTACACAGAAGATGAAATCTTGTTTTCTCAGAAAGCAATATTATTTTTTGCTCACTTGAATGGCACCATATTTCACCCTTAATTGTAACGTGGGATCATTACTTCCTTTGCGTAGGTGTCAATTCACAGATCTGTCACTTTAGAAAAGCTCTTTAAAGCTGAGATATAATTGCTTAAACAACAGCAGAAAAAAAAACAAAAACAAAAACTGTAGTATGAGAATGATACCATTGTTTACTAATTGACCTCATTTTAGGATGTAAGATCACTTTCTCCTTCCAGCAGTGGCCTCAACAAAATCATACAGTGGTAAGGGTCCTACTTACTTCAGACGCTCGTACAGGATCAGTCCAAAACTATCAAGTCGTCTTTTCACTCAAGGCAACACTAAGAATGTCTTTTGGTTTTATTAAGAGCATAATAATCTGCTGTGTGTGATGGCTTTTGGCAGAATCCCTATCCATTGTCTTTGCAATTTACAAATAAATACACATTTGATTTTCGTATATTTTTCAGGTACTGCATTTTTCTCACCTCAGTGCAATCAGCAGATTTATTTGAAAACCAGGAAAGAATAACAGTTTAGACCCGAGTACACATCTTGCTTGTGAAATGCGTGATGTGACAATACTGTAAAAGATTTTATTTATTTATTTACTTGCTTTTAGGTAACAAAAAAAATTAATACGTTGATTCAGAGAAGACAGGCAAGAGATAAAGACAGAAGATGAAATGCATGTGTTCAGACTTGGTGAACAGAACCCTCATTTGCTTCCCAGCTTGCTTGCCAGATACAATTTTCACACTTTACTAAGCATGACCTGCTTTAGTAGAAGTTTAAGTAACAATATTAAACTGCAAATTAGATAACAAGGGAAAAAACACAGTTTCTATTTGCGGGAGGAAGATATTAAAGGGCATGAAGAGAAGTGTCAAGGGGGTGCTGGGAAAAATTGGCCAAAGCCAATGGGGATTAGGTCTTTAACTCTTGTACATCACTGAAAATTCTACAATTACATAATGTTAGCAACAAAAATGCTGGTCCCTGCTATTATGTAACTGTGACCAGATTCCTGCCAAAGAATCTGAAGATGGGAGCAGACCTAAATTGCATTTTGATTGGAGTTGTCTTCAGTTGCTCATTTAATTGTATATGTTTGCCTAAGCAACCACAATTAAAGAAATAGAGTGGGAATGAAACAGTAGAGAACGATGTTAGTTATTACAGCAAGTTTGCAGATGGCATCAAGCTGAGTGGTGCAGTTGACACGCTAGAGTATGGATGCTAACCAGAGGGTCCTTGTCAGGCTTGAGAGGTGGGCCCTTGCCACCCTTATGGAATTCAACAAGGCCAGGTGCAAGGTCCTGCACCTGAATCAGGGCAATCTCAAACACAGATATAGGTTAAGCGAAAAATGGCTAGGGAGCAGCCCTGAGGAGAAGGATTTACGAGTGTCAGTTGATGAAAGATTCGACATGAGCCGGCAATGTGCACTTGCAGCCTAGAAGGCCAACCATATCTTGAATTGCATCAATAGAAGTATGACCAGCAGGTTGAGGGAGTGATTCTGCCCCTCTGCTCTGCTCTTGTGGGACCCCACCTGGAGAACTGTGTCCAATTCTGGGGCCCCCAACACAAGAAGGACTTATAGCTGTTGGAGTGAGTCCAGAGGAGGACCACAGAGATGATCGGAGGGCTGGCATGCCTCTCCTAAGAGAACAGGCTGAGGGACCTGGGGCTTTTCAGCCTGGAGAAGGCTTCAGGGAAATCCAGGGAGATGAGGCTGTGAGCAACCTGGTCTATTGGGAGGTATCCCTACCTATAGCAGGGGGTTGGAACTAAGCAATTTTAAAGGTCCCTTGCAACACAACCCATTCTATGATTGTATGATTACAGTAGACAAATACTGATAAAAGTGGAGGGAGACTTCAGAGTTGGATATGCCAGTATGCTAGTGTTTTAGTTAGCTTTGGCACCACTAAAGCTATGCAGTTATTTGTATAAATACTCAAGGAATGGTTATTTTTGTCCAGCAGTAAAACCATATATGAGGATCTTGCCAGTGTCTTAGACTGACATCTAGTGATTTTGTACTAGAAGGAATTTCAGGAGCCTCAGTTTGTTTCTGCTTTTGTCACTGACCTGTTTCATGAATTTAAGCTGGACTAGGTTCAAGAAGTTGAAAGCCTAGCATTCATGTACTCAGCCTAGAGAATGTCTGTAAGTTGGGTATAAAACGTATTCATGAGCACATACAAGTGCACGGCCCAAGGAAGCCAGGCTCAGGTAGGCTTAGATCTGAAGTTGCATACCTGTATTAAAAGCAAGCAATGGCTACCATAAGTGTCTAAGAATATGTGAGTTTCTGGATCCAAAAATGATTTGTTTATAGCAACCAAGAATTAATTTAAACAGGATTTAAATACTTAGTACTGCTAAGCACAAACTGGACGTGGAGAGAAGTAGAAATATCAGAGACCTTGGGAATTTTTAAATCAGGAATTGCAGGTCAGAGACTGCATGTAACAACTGCTCTGAAGGCGGAACATAAGTTCTACTCAGTTCATAGCATAGGCTCCAAAACTTCATCTAGGATTCCCTTCCCTGCCTTTGTTTCTGTCTTTGTTCACTTGCCTGGATTGATGTTCGTGTCACTGTGCAGCTGCCAGTACTTTTCTGTTTGTTCATGCTGCAGCTAGCACAACAGAACTCCTTTGGGGCTTTGCAAACCATCACAGTCAATCTGATGATAAAACACCTCAGAGTAGTTTCATTGGCCTATTTTTCCTTAAGTGCAAAGATCTACTCTCTACCTTGTTCAAATCAAGACTTATTCATTTCAGTAAGAATTTGGTTTGTCCTCATACTTGCTCCCTATACTTGTGACATTGGTTATATGTACTTTTACTAACATATTGCTCTTCTTAACTGGATCCTATTTTCTGTCTCACTTTTCTGTCCTGATATTTACTTGCAAGCACTGAATGTGTTTATTTTCTTTTTTTTGTGTTTGCTTTGTTTCGGTGGGTAAATAAAAAATCAGAAGAACTCTGTGCATTTACAAATGAAATAATTTTCTCAGTGGTATTTACTTCCATCTGCTGCTACTTTCATCCTCAGTTAGCATTCTAAGGACAGTATTATAGGGATTGGTTATGCTACCAAAGCACAAGAGGGGTGAAAATTCTGAGAGAGGCTGATGCTCTACTAGTAATTTAAGTGAGATTAAATTTAGAAATGGAGTATGGATTTATTGTCTGCGTGTGCCATAGGGAGTTGGATGAGAATCGTGGGCTGCATAAAATCTTAATGGATCCCTTGAGAGAGAACCGAAAGACCTTGGTTGCTTAAACAAAGCCAAGAGGTAGTTGGAATATTCCAGAAGAAATTAATGCAGTAGCTTCCTATGTAAAACAATTTCCTGTTAAAATGATTTAAATAGCATGTAAGTAGAATATAAATAACATAACATGTCTGTCAAGGGCCACGTTGCTGTAACAATGCACAGCTGTCTGTCATGAAAACCTTAATTGACATGAGAGGAATTCTGCCAGGGTTGTGGAGAACATGGTGACACACATGGTCTGATTGGCTTCCCTGTTTGTACTTGTGCTATAGAGAGGCAGAGGCTTGCTAGACCGGGAACTCCTATTTATTGTAGAAGGGACTTTTCTGTGTTTCTGATTATTTCTTTATTCCCCGCTTCCCCTTTTTTCTCTATATAATTGTTGACAAGAAAGACAATTTATCTGAAGAGAAGATAAATGAACTAGACTCTCCTTCTCCGCCTCCCATAGTGGGAATCTAGACAGCATTGTCTTGCCTCTTGTGTCCTTGGGCAAGGGCTTGGATTGGCTGTGCTCTCTCCAGGCTGCTTTTAGCTGTAGTTCTTTGGTGGCTTGAGTGTAGTTTCTCTAGGGGGTTGCCATTGTTTCAGGAATAAAATACAACCCTACCATTGCTGTTTCTCTAGTGATTTGCATCCTTAGACTGTTGGGACTGTTGTATGTATACGCACACACATATATGTGAGAGTATTGCTTTTCTGGTCGATAATGAGCGCTAACATGCCGAATGAGATTCAGTATGGATAGCTGTGAATTCATATTCATAGCTGAAAAAAAGGGCAAAAAAAAAAAAAAGAATAGAGAAGCATTTTAAAATACAAAGATGGGAGAATGTCATTCTTTACTTGACCAACCTAAAAGGCATAATCTCTTAATAAATAGATAATGCCCAGATCAGTTTATTTCCTCTGCTGTAAAACAGGGGACTTTTTGAAATCATTTTGCCAAAATAAAATTGTAAGGATTTGATATAGTTCACTTAGTTCTGTGGCACTCAGGACATTCTTTCAGATTATTACTCTAGGTCTTCAAAGTAGAATTATGTATTTTTTTTCCCTTTTTATGTTGAAATGTTAAGAGCATGTTATGGTTCTGTTATTGTTTTTAAACTGTAATAGATAGAAAGGTCAAGATAAATTCAACTGTTTTTCATGTAAAATGACAATAATAACGAAAACTTTTTATGTTTTCAAATTCAAGTCTCTAAAATGGATCTAACTGATCACTGAGGTCTCAATAGACAAGAAAGGGTAGATTTTAAACCAGGTAGAATCAGATTTTTACATTGCTGTAAGGATCTCAACTGCAGAGACCTGTGCTCAAGTTGTGTGTTACATTGCTAATGGATCACTGAATTTTTAGGAGCTAATTTCGATCAGGCTGTGATTACTGATGCTGTGGTGATATCCATGTCCTGTGCTTACCTTTTCCCAGAAACTCTCCAAAGAACATCATTACAGCTCATACATGGCTGTTAAAATAGAAAACTGGAAGCAAGATAGAAAGTGTCTTCAGCTTTGCACTGGATGTCAGAGCTTTGGGTATACTGGCTTCCATAAGATGATACTTGTGCATCAGTCATGGCCAGCAATTCATTTCTGTTCATTCTTTTTTACTAGACAGCGACTGCCATTCTGTTCTTCAGAAGCTGCGGTTTGAATTTCTCATGAGCATCATTGGGATTGGTACTATTACTGTAATAGCACAGAAAATGCATACGGATTGTAAACACTGGAAGATAAGAGTAACCCGGATTGACACTTAAAAGGGTAGAAAAAGAGGCTCTGGAATTAGATGTCAGAGCCCAGTCAGCCTCATTCTCTTCAAGATGTTTTCAGAGAGTGTTAACTTTTGCTTATTGTATAGCCAGAATGTTTTCTGTGTAGTACATGGCTTTTTGAGTAGTCTGGCTCTTCGTGTTCCCAGATAGTTTGCAAACTATTTTCAGAATAGCTTCAGTGTCCTTTTCTTTTCCAACAGGTGAATCTTTTCTTCCTGTTAAATATTGTCCGTGTACTCATAACCAAGCTGAAAGACACCCACAAGGCAGAATCCAACCTATACATGAAAGCAGTACGAGCTACCCTCATTCTGGTTCCCCTGCTCGGCATTGAATTTGTGCTGTTTCCATGGCGACCAGAAGGTCGAATCACTGAGGAAGTCTATGAATATGTGATGCACATCCTTATGCATTACCAGGTAGGAATTAAATATTTTTTGCCCACTTGAGCTAGATTAGCTGTTGGCATACGAGGCAAATAAAGGACAAATTTTCCTTATTTTAGTTTGTAAAGACCTTTACGCAATAGTCCTGTAAACAACTTCAGCTTTCTCAGTATACTGAATTTTCTTTTCTCTGGAGGAAAGAAACGTTGCATGCTCTACTACATTTTTGTAGGGTGTTGTTAGAAACTACACACAGATTTTAGATTTGTAGAATATTTTGTTTGCTATGTATATAGGAATTGTATCGGGAACCTCTAGTTGTATTACAAACCTGAAAAAATTCCACATGCGTGTGAAATAAAGAAGGTTATCTTAATTTTACAGGGTCTACTGGTCGCTACAATTTTCTGCTTCTTCAATGGAGAGGTAAAGTAATAGTTTTTATTGTATTATTTTGTACATAGAGATTTTATATATTCTAGCAATTAAGGAGATTGCACACCTGAAAAATATAGTTACGAACTCAGAACTTAATAGCTCATTGTGCTTGGGTCAAAATGTCTTGAATATCTCGAATAAGAAGTGTACTTCTGAAAAATTGTGATTAGTTAATTCCAGCAGCTAACTTCTTTATTCTTGTGTCAGAGAATTGCACTGTTTCAATAATATATGGAACTGATCCTTGTTGCAACTAATAAGTTATTTCTGTTAACTTGAATAGACTAAGGTCTTGTCAGCTAAGCTTTATGCTTGAGAGTAACTTATAGAGTTAGTGTTAAAGATAAACATACTAGAAAGGCTAAATATATATGCATACACACGCACACACTAAATTTCTCACTGCAATTTTTGCAACTCTTGCTTGAAAAAATAACCAAAACAAACAGATAAAAACATCCCACCAAAGAAGTAGGGCTTTTCCAACTCTTTTGGCAGAAGAACAATTACAATGCTGTCCTTATTCTTACACATCTGTTTGTTCATTTTTTTTCTGCATTTAGTGCAGTTGCAGTATGGGGCTGTAAGCAGATGTGTGGGAGTAACCAGATGTTTTCATAGGACTGAATCCTTAGTTTCTTTTATCACGTTGTGTTCTTACATAATGTTATTGGACCAGTAATATTTACTTACGTGTGAAGTATATGGCTAATATTTGATTCAAATAGGTCTTGCTTACTCCTCTCCCTCTTAAATTTGAAGCTGTCTGAATTGCAATGAATATTCCATGTGATTTTAAGATACTTTTTTTTTCCAACAAAAGTATGAGTGTCAGTGATTGTCATCATTATTATTAATTTTAGCTAAGGAGGCAGAAAAGATCAAGAAAGAGTGATTTCTTTTTACAGTTCATAAGGTCTGGGTCAGTGGTTTTGATCTGGTTTTATGGCAAGGTGATCCAAGTTCGAGTCTCTGTTTATGTATTTGATTCAAAACAGAGCATATCACTAAGCATTATGGATCTGGTTTGGTTACTTTCCCATGTTCAGAATAAGTATTTTATACACTCTTTCCCTTCTAAGAGGCATTTGAAAAATAAACAGACAATTTGCTTTGTCTCAATGCAAAATATGGACAAAAATATTTAAAATTTACACATTTTCTATGAAACAATATTGTCCAATGCTCAGCTCTGCCTTTTATCCCTCTTGGTCTTCTGAGGCTACTTTAATCCTACCTCTGACAATGATTTTGTTTCATCTGATCATTTTCCGCATTTTACAAACTCATGGTTTTCACACTGCTCTCTTCTGCTGCATAAGAAAAGCAAAACCTAGTTGTTCCTCTAAGGGAGTATTAGCAGAATATCCCTGGGCTGATGAGTGTATAAGATGAGCTCCTCCGCAGCTCCTACAGATGGTAACAGGTGAACAATTTCTTGAACATCTCTGGTCAGGTTAATTTAAAAAGTGGATTCGGATGTTTAAGCAAAATGTTTAGATCTTGTGTCTTTTTGTTTTCAGTTACACATTTCTTTCCATTTGCTTTCTATATAGCAGAAATTTAGGCTTTTTAAGCAAGTTTAAATTCTGATTGCAGTGCTTCAGTTATCAATATTGACCTTTTTTCAATTCATTACGCTTTGTTGGGGAGAGGATTTGTTGCTTTATAACCACTTGGACGAGTAAGGAAACTCATGGGGAGAATAATAATATAGTTAAGAAAAAACAGTTGCTTAAAAAAAAAAAAAGGTAGATTAAAAAATGTGGCTTCTGGCATGTGAGCCTGTAGGCGTATGTGTATTCTGTTGCCATTATCATATGTTGCTGTCATAACAATGCCTTAACTCATCCTGATACTGTAGCTTAGCTGTTGTGTACAAGACCTTTCCTATCAGCATCTGTCACAGCAACTCCTTGTTATGTTCTGTACCAAATGGCTTCAGTGTGAACACTTGTGTGCTGTTCTGTAGCAAGTCTGGGGCTTGGAGATGAATCCTGAGACTAGAATCAACTCGTTGAATGAAAACAGAAAAAAGATATTCCAGTAAGATACTAGCAATTTAAAATGCTACAAGCATTAGTTTGTTTATCTAAATGCTATTTCCCAAATGCTACTGCAGCTTCTAATGTTTCCTATCAACATTAAGAGCCAAATCCTGTTCAAGGAGTGGGTTGCAGGCCTTTTCAGACAATGGCCAAAAAGGGAATCAAAAAATCATCTGCTAACAGAATGAGAAGAAACTAAGTAACATTTAAGAAAAAAATGTTGGAATGCTTTGTTGGCTGTAGCTACGAAACATCTCCAAACTCATTAGACAGTGTAGCTAGGGATGTCCTGTCAAATCCAGTGCCAACATCCATTGCAACTGTCACTGCAGCTTCTACAGCAGATAACGGCATACATGCAAACCCTTCCACTTTATATTCTCTGGCAGGAATTCCCTAAGGACACTCATGTTCTGCTTATGTCCTAGCATCCACAGAGTATGATGCTTCTTGACTACTTCTTGATGCTTCCCAATTGGAGTGGGCTTATGGCTGGCTTAGGGGTGATGCAGGTTGCAGTAATGGGAGAAGCTTGTAGCAGCTTTCTCTGTAAAAAGAAAGTAGAAAAATTCCTATGACCTATTAATAGATCATAATATGTACTTATGATATGATTATGTTAGACATGTGAAGTTTGTGGCTTTGGAGTTCTTTTATTTCTGGTTTTGGTAGTGGTAGTTTTTCCCCTCATTCTGGTAGTCATTGGGAATGTGGTTAAGGCTACAGTCTCAGTTCTGCAGGATTATAAAAAAAAATTCTTAATAGGCAAGGTTTGGGATTTTTGTTCCTCATTTTTTTTTGGGGGGGGGGGGCAGGGGGAAAGAGGGGAGGGACTACTGAGCCATTACATTTGTGTTACACTGACATCAGAGTACTAGTATGTTAAAGAAAGTGCAAGTCATTGAAGCTCATTGGAAGGAGCCTTTACTAATAAGGTGAGGAAGTATGAATGCTTAAGTTGGAATTGATACTGTATTAATGAGACATGCAACTACGTTTGTGACATTGTTTACTTTGAAAAAATACATTGGTTAATATTTTCTCACAATGTTGCCCATCCTGAGCTGAATCTACAGCCCTGTCCAACTGCTCAAAGTTGAGGAAAAGAGCAATAGGTCTTCTGCTCTCGCATAATCTATTGAGGTGTGCATGCTGCATGCCGTTCAACAGTATGAACAGTGGTGGAAATTAGCTGTCTCATTGATTTTTCCCGTCTTCTATGAATGATTGATTGGACAGAAGGTAGCAATAATACATGAAAGGATGTAACGCCCTACAAGAATAGACACAGAGAAGGTCAGAGGTGAAATACTGACTCAGCAGTAACAGAGAGGCTTTTGGAAGAATGCCAGGTGTGTGTGGCTTAGTTAGAAATGCACCAAGAGGATGTGATGGGCACCAGGGAGGGCACAGAGGAAACTGTGTGCCGATATGGAAATTATTCTTTATAGCAATTTGTCACTGGTGAGAAAGCAGCCTGAACAGAGAATTTTCACACCAGAAATAGGCAGCAGGCACTTGTCTTGCAGAAATTCCAGAAGCTCTCTTGAGATGTGGGGACTGATTTCCTCTGATTTACAAATATTGTTTACAACTGCAATAAGCCTAATTACTGGAGCTACTAGGAGGATATACAGGAGTGGGCATAAGTTTCTTTTGCAACCTGGCAATTCTGTTTTATTTCCCAACTCTGCCAATAGGTTCTCTGACTTTGCTTAAGCCATTTAGTTGCACTTGTTATAGTTTTCCCATCCCCTGCCTATTGTCTGTTCTTTCTGAAGTGAACATTCTTCATGATGATATTTTTTTGTTGTTTCTTTCTCCAATAAGACACTAATCTTAATGAGGAACTTTGCTATGGAAAGGATAAAAATTGGAACAAATGAAAACTTAGTGAAATGCAGAGATAGATATAATTAAGAAATACATTCTAAGTTTCCTTCTCAGGCAATTTGGAGTTTTCAGAATGCTTCTTCTCTTGTGTTTTTGAGGGATGGAGTGGTGACAGTGGTGGACAAAAGAAGGGCAGCTGATATAATCTCTCTGGACTGGTGCAAGGCCTTTGATACAGTCCCACTCTATGTCCTTACCTCTTAACTGGAGAGAGAGAGAAAAATTTGAAGGCTGGATTATGAGGTGGATAAAGAATTGGTTGGGTGGCCACAGTCAGAGGGTTGTTGTCAGGTGGAGGCCAGGTCTGAGCGGTGTCCCTCAGTGGTCTGTCTCTGGACTGGTACTCTTGCAGCCCAGAAGGCTGACAGCATTCTGGGCTGCATCAAAGGAGGAGTGAGCCCCTATCTGGAGTGTTGTATCCAGGCCTGGGGCCTTCAGCACAGGAAAGATGTGGAGTGGGTCCAGAGGAGGACAGCTTCCTGTTCAGACATTTTAAAGGGATTTAAATAGCTTTTTGAACATAGGAGAAGAGCATCTCTTTTTGCCCTAAAATATTAATCTTTTATGGAACTGATTCGATATTTCATATTTTCTTTGTTAATAGTTTTGAGAGATAAGAAGTCAGTACTGCATGCAGGAAGTCAAAAATGTACATCCTTTTCTCATTTGTTTATTTTTCATGTTTAAAGACAAAATAAAATTAGGAAAAAAAGCCAGTGTGTTATAAAAATGTAAAGAAAACACAGTTTTTACTCTGCAATGTCAGTATCTAAGTGGGGGAAGGTTAGTTATTCTGTGTGTTTAATTTAAACGAGACCAGTGATTTAGGGTACACTGCTGGATAAATTTAGCTGTCAGCTCTGACTAGCATTTCATTTACAACTGCACTTTCCCAGTCCGTGCAGGAAAGATTTTCAGTGTTGCTGGCCATTGGGCGCAAAGGTTTGCTGAAGAGGAAACAAAATACTCATGATCTGTAGGCAATCATTTGAAAAGCTGGTACTTCAAAGAAGATATTTTGAATGAAACAACAGTAGCTGTTGCCATTCTTAGCATTCCTTACTTGGCATCTTGACTCAAAACTGATCCCGTGTGAATTTAATCAATGTGACACTTCATCTATCACACATGCGCAGGTGTTTAAGCATAATGTAGGAGAGGAAGTCCATGATAAACATAACATCCTTTCTGTGGAGACATGTAAACAAGCTGGGGCCTTGAGCTATTTTATCGTCATTATTTTTAACTCTGGTAGAAATGCGGTGTTCAGGAAATTGTCTTTCATCAAATTGTCATTTGATGAAGTAGTAGTCAGAAATTAATAAAGGCTTTTTTGTATCAGAAATAATCTGTGGTATCTGAACTGTATGAGAGTTTGCAGTTGCTACAGTTGCAACCTTAATGTAAGGATGAGCAGAAATTATCTTTTTTTTAACTGTAAATCTTGTCTGTCCACATTTGACTTCAACCCACAGGGGAAAAACTAGAAAATGGTGTTGCTGCTACTCCTTCATAAGCTAGCAAATTTGGTGTGAAAAGCACAAATAATGTCTATTTACATTTTAATTCTTTCAGAATATATCATCACACCTAGGTACCCAGGGTTACTGAGCCTTATTATCAAATTTTCTGAGACATTTATTATGGCATTCATTTGTCAAATCATTGAGTCTGACATATCTTTTTTATGAGCATTTGTTTTTGTTTCCTGTCATAGGTCCAAGCTGTTTTGCGAAGACACTGGAATCAGTACAAAATCCAGTTTGAGCACAGCTTCAGCCACTCAGATGCTATGCGCACTGTTTCCTATACAGTATCAACAATCAGTGATGTTCCAGGCTACAGCTACAACCACGACTGCACCAGTGAACATTTAAATGGCAAAGGCTATCATGACATGGAGAGCGTAGTTTTAAAAACTGAAAAGTTATATGGTTGACTGAAAAGACTCTGCATATGCCGGTGTTCACCCTCATAGTTTATGAACTTGAAGTTTGATTTGATGACTTAATGGCCAGAAGATTCAGTCTAACTTGGGAGTATGACCTTCTCCTGAATGATGCAAACTAAACCAACTCATTTTCGTATGTATAAATATATGTGTCTGTGTTTGTCTATTGATAGTATGGACATCCATACATGTATCTATCCACTTAGCTATATATATGTGTGTATTTACATAAGTATACAAACGTTGCCTCTTCAGTTTCTACTATGTAGACAAAGTTGGCAATTTTTTGTACAAGGGGAATCAAAGAATGAAGGATTTCGTATTTTCTTGGAAGTTTCTATGAAGACGGGGTTGTACTGAAGCCACTTCATTTGCCTATAGAAACTTAGGGTGTAAATACCATACTATATTGTCTTAATCAAACCTAAAACTGAACAAAGGAAAATTGTTACAATAGGTGCAATAGTTACAGCAGCTTGTTCAGGTTAATTTTATGTCCAGTATTTTATTGTCAAAAAGCAACAAAAAAAACACCAACAGATAGTCTAAGATAATAGACTCAAGATACTAATGCTGAGCCAGTTGGATTTTGCAACTGTTTTTAATGAAGCATCAGAGATGCTAGTACAAGTCTAAGATTCTATTCACTTGTGTATTGCAGCATAACAGTTTACAGCAAGCCTTGAACAATTTTATTTAAACTGTTTTCACATACACAGGAGTGTCTCCTCCTCTTCAAGCTTATGAATGCAGATGAGATCAATGATGAAGCCTTACTGAAAAGTAAGAAAGAGTACAGAAAGAATAGTAACCTGAATACCTATAAATCCATCTGACTAGTAATTCAAGCTTATGGAATTTCACTGTCTGCTTAAGCATTTTACTTGGCTGGGAAAAATAATGTACAGATTTTGTTATAGCCATGTGGTTTGTTTTGTTTTTCTTTTAAGTATTTCTATGGCCAATATGCCTGAATGCCTGATAAAATTATTCCTTTGTTTTGGAGGGCAATGTTTTGATTACGTTTGTGACTTGTTTATTTAGGGAAAAATGGACTGGACTGAACACAGTGAAAATGATTTGCTATCTGTGAAGCCAGTGTATGAGATAGATTAATCAAGCAAATTAACATCAATAACATATTATTCCTTTTTTTTCTTTTTCTTTTTTTTTTTTTTTTTTTTTTTTTGAAAATCCAATATAGGATTTGCCTTAGAAAACTTTAATGTTTAAGAATTTTAATATTATTTGAGAGGTGCTTGATTCAGACCAGTTCTTTTTAAGGAAGTTATTGCTTTTGGTTGTACTGGTTTATAAAGGTCTCTCTGAAGAATGAGAAGGTTGTGGATATTTAAAATATGTGTCTAGCAAACCTGTGTACATCTTTATGCTTCAAAGAAATAGTAGTTATATTAAGTGAAACAAAATGCTGAAGTATAAGAGATGAATTTGTAATGGTCTTATTAAAAAAAATCTAAGAAGTAGAAAAATGTGTTATAGGTATATTTTGCAGAACAGTCTACTTCAAAAGTTGGGGGAGAAAAAAAGAGGAGTGGAGACTGGAGCTTATCAACGACGATTATGCTCATGTGCATCAGGTAAGCAGGTAAAAAAACTGAAAGACAGATTTTTCTAAACCACTTTAGTCCTAAATACTTAATTTTGTATATGAAGTATTGATTTTTACATCTAAACATTTTTTTCAGTAGCCTTTCTGTAAGCTTCATTAGCATGGAATTTATTTGCTGTTTCAGTATTTATTTTCTTGTAACTTTGTAAGGCCTCACATGCTTTGTATTTAGAAGGAAAATGTTAAGAGGATGCAGTAAATTCATGCCACTTGCACCTTTCATTGTTAATTTTTTTAACACTGTTGTCTAGAGTTTCAGTGTAGAGTTTTGTTAATGATGTAGTGTCATAACATAGAATATCAGCTGAGATATTAAAATGGAGATGTCTTGTGCAAGGCTATCTGCTCGAGTGATAGAAATAACATGAAAATCATGTGCTATACTAGAACAGTGTGAAATCTGGAAACCCTGTCTCACAGCACCTGATTATGGTGTCTGTTCCAACATGGTTAGAAGTCGTTTACAACTCAACTTGCTCATTTTTTTTTTAAAGTAAATAATTAAGTAATTAAGGGTTACTTAAAAATCTTTGCAATGTTCTGAAAGTGCACGTAGTGCAGGACATCCCTAGTCTGGTATACCAGCTTTGCACACACAGGGGAACAGATCATCAACTGGTATAAATCTTGAGTTCTAAGTTTGGAATCAGTGGGTACTAGCTGAGAATCAAAGCCTGTGCAGATACTGGTCTATTGGAAAGTGCTTCACAGTCCTGGACGGCATATTATGTGACAATTATTTCAATGGTACCTGGTGGGTTGTTACAATTAAAACATGTAACAGCTGAGAATATGATATGATATTAGATTTTGATTTCAGTTTACTTCTCAGCTAGGCAGTTAAATTTAATGACCTGCAAATTTGTGCCTTTTGATACAAAGTACTAAATGCTAATAGTTCACTGTCTTCTGTTGAGAGATGATTGTAATGGTAATTTATAGGGGGAGACTGCTTTTCCACAGAACCTATCCTGCCTCTAGGTGGTCAGTCACAGTGTGTGTGTTTCTAGGCACACTTTTGAAAAGGAAACACATCGAGCTGGATATGCAAAAAAAGGTTTGTGGCTGTACAAGGAGAGGAACACTCCCTCATCCTCATGAGCTTCTATTTTGCATTGGAAAACATAAATTCCTTATTTTGTCTTCCTACCTCACCTTTTTTCAGTTCCTACATAGCTAAGACCAGAGTCTGCTGCTTAATTTATTCCTTTTTTTTTTTTTTTTTTTTTTCACTATAAATTGAAATCAAATCTTTATGCTGAGATTTTGTCCTGTGGTCTATTTTCTACTGTATGGAATATTGTAGTCCTTGCCTGTATTGTCTGGAATGTAAGAAAGCTTTTGGGGGCTGTGAGGTTCTTTTCAACAGCAGACAGCTATCTATTATTGTTCTTTTTTGTTAGTGAACATTTACTGTATCATTAAGAAGGAGGCTACAGAAATGCTCGTCTTAGACTTTGTGTAAGTAACTGGCATGTTAGTTATGTGTTAAAGGGAATGTCTATTTTTAATGCTACTGTCATCAATTAGTAAATGCCACAAGTTGATTCTCTGCTGCAGAGTTCCCTCAGTTTATTATTGTATTTAACAGCTATTCTATGTATTATTTTTTCTTTGTGATGATCTCCTGAAGTGCTTGGCTGTAGAAATGCTGCAACACATACTCCTGTTAACGTCACAAAACGTTTGGGCTGGAAACCCGGTAACATTCAAGTATTGTACTGTGTAAATAAGATGAATAGAAGCTATGCCATTGTATTTATTGTTCCACTAAGGGTGAAATAGAAAAAAATGTGAGAAGTTATTTTTTGGTTGTGCCTTATTTTTCACTTACCTCTTTCATATGTGTCATCATGCATTTTATTTGCAGAAAGAAATACTATGTTTGCATTCAATAGAATATTTCCATAGTTGAACATTACATTTGTATAAAAGTAGTAATAACTTTCATGTATGTATTCAAATATGGAAATAGGCTTTCACTGACGCTTTTAACTATGAGTTACTGAAGTATTAACTCAAGGAGAAAGTCACTGCAATTTAGTATTTGTTTATTTGGTGTTTAAAATTCTCATTGTAATGTATAGTAAAGGTGCTGCATTTCTAGAGTAAGCTTGCTCTTAAAATTCTTTACTAAATAACTTAATATTTAGTGGGGAAAAAAAATTCTGTTCCATCAGAACCAGAGTAGAGACTAACATGAATGCATATTTTCATTCCATTGGCTTTCAACTAAACCCCAACTAAATAAGGTCCAAATCGCTTAGCTGTGCAGAAGCTGTTTTGTTCCATCAAGACCAGCAACAAGGCAAGTCATGGAAGGAATGAATGAATTTTTTGGTTGACTTGTTGGTTTTTCTGCGTTGTTTTTTTTTTTCCTTCACATCGGGTTGATGGTGTCTGTACAGTGGTGTGGAAAGTACGCATGTTTTCGAGCCATAGAATTGTGTTTCTTGATGTGTAATAGCTAAACTCAGCTGATGACCAAACCACTGAAACATAGATAAAAGGAACGCCGAAGTACATGAACATTTATACTGCAACTTGAATTAAGTTACTACTCACCTTGTTACACCTCAGCATGGACACCAGCCTTAGCAGCATGGGGGCACAGCAGTTCTAGTACAGAAGCAAGTACAGTCGCAGTGGGCCATTGCAGCTCTCCACCTGCACTGCTGCAGGTCATGAGTTTTACGTTACTGGGTTAAGTACATTTCTAACTACAGTGAACATTACATTTAGCCATCTATTTCCAAGTGAAATATACAGGAATCCTGTGAACTTGTCAGTGATCAGAAACTGTGAAGGTGGGTGTTCCTTATGCATTACCTTAAGTAAAACCCATTAAACTTAAGCTGTCTAACATTATCTGGTTTACTTGGTCCTAAAATGAAGCATAACTGCTTCAAGAATGTATTAACTTACTTACTTATTCAAGTAAGATTCCATCCACCCTTGGCTGTTTAAAACACAAGCACAAAGTTTTACATAACGCATGAACTGTCTCCATTGTGTTCCATTTTCAGCTAATCTTAGATTTTACATTTGCATGAACTGAAGGTATGGCTTATAGCTGAAGTGCCAGCACATCTTTCTTTCAGCAGACTTCTTTTTAAAGGCGTACAGAAAATTTGCATCTTGACATGATAAAAGTTTTAGATGGGCAAACAACTAGCTTGCTTCTTTGCTATTAGCTAGCTTATAGTTTTGAAAAGGAGCTCAGTATCACATTTAGCATAAATTCAGAGATTTTGTTTACTAATCGACATATTTATAGTTTCCTTGTTATACTAGATGATTAAAATCTAGAATGGAACAAAAAAAAAAAAATTGGAGGTGGGAACAGTAATTTACAGTTGATTAAAAGCTTTACTGTTGCAATGAGTTGCAATGTCCTCTTATCCGTAACTTGTTTTCAAATGGAAAGTAATAACCTGACAGAAATGAGGTTATAAATGTTAATTTTAGTTCTTTTGAGCTATGATACAGTATTTTTAGCTTATTCTAGTTGCAATTTAATAGTTCAATCCATTTAATAGAATTCTAGTGTGCAGGAGTAGCTATACTATCTAGTATACACTCTAATTGCAAGTAACTGCTAGTAAATGTACTGTTTTGGCAGTGTTTTTTCTTTTCTTTGTTGTAGGTTTTCTTTCTTAACTAAAGCTGCTAATATTCTTTTGTACCTATTTACTGCAACTAAGAGTGTGGCTTACTGTTCCTTACCAGTGCCTCCTGCCACTGGCTGCTTTTCTGTGATACTCAAACTACAGAGTTCAAACCTTACATTTAGCAATTTCATACATTTTGATATAAATATACAGAAAAAGATGGAAAAGCTAGTCATCCAAATGCAGAAATGACAAGATATCCACAACACGTGCATAAAAGCATGCTATTTTGTGCCTTAAAGAAAAACCTAAGATAGCTACCTAATCTCTGCAGATGAGTACACAGGGATTCCAAAACTACTTCTGTTACATTTTTCTTGAAAGAGAAAATGCCCTTACAGCACAGGTATCCATGCAATACTTAGAAGTGCCAGCAACTGTATTGAGTGGGGCAAAAACAAATTTCATATCACTTCTAAGATATCATTACAACGTGATAGCAATTCCACCCTCTGCAAGATATGAAGGCTGCTTCACTTAAAAATGTTCTAAATGCTCTGCTAATGTACCTTGGACTGTTCTGGTCATAACAGATATTATCCAAGTAAGTTCTAAGCCAACATAGTTATCTGGTTCTAAAAAATACGCAAAAAAAAAAAAATACAGAATTCTCTTAGTCCAACTGCTTTAAGTGCCACAGTGAATCATTCGCAGTGTTAACACTGAGCATCTAACCACACACAGTGAAGATAAAGAAGCAAAATTGAAAGACCAATTAAAATACTTGTGAACATTAGTTATCTTTGTTGTAGGTAAATGTACGCTGTACTCTATTCATCAAGAGGTACGAGTAAGCTTTTTGGAAAGGACAAGCATTTGACTGCTGAAGGCCACTGTAAAGACTACACAGCACACCACTACTAGCTAATTGAGATATCACAGCAGAAGCAATGACTATAGAGAGGTATGCTCTCTTAAAACAGCAAGATAATTTTGTGCGTGTTGCAACTTAGATCTCTCAAAAAGTAATGCTTCCTATTTATTTCCATGGAAAATATACCAGCTACAAGGAGCTCAGTAACACAATTTAATAAAGCAAATTCTCAGTTAAAAAACAGTTTTTCAGCGTAGCACCTCTGCCAATGGAAATGCATAGCTACTGCTGAACAAGAGTCTGCATGCCACTGTCATACAAATTACATACAAGCTGCCTTTCTGCCTCTGATGTCATAGGTCAACATCAAAATATAGAAAGCATTATACAATCAAGGCTGGAAAGACCACTAAGATCATCAAGTCCAACTTTTCAATCCGTCACCACTGTACCACTAAACCATGTCACCCAGTGTGGCACCTACCTTTTTCTTGAACACGGACGGTAACTCCTCCACCTCCATGGTCAGCCTATTCCAGCACCTCACCTCTCTTCCTGAGAGGAAATTTTTCCCAGCATCCAAGCAGAATCTCCAGTCATGCAACTTACATAAAGCCAGTACGGTTACTTTGTAGCAACCCTCATAATAGCATTAACACACGGCATTTATTTAACAAATGAGCAAATAAGTCTAGACATAAAAAACCTTAGGAGATTATCTTTTCAAATCTCACAAAACTGCCTGAGCAAGTGCTATCTATATGTATATTCTGCTCCTATACGTAATACTCAACTAAAAAAGCAGAATGTTTTGTTCTTCTGCCACTTCATACTTATATACTGCTACAATTCCCCTTCCGCAAGACAGGCTGTGCACTGTGATGAGCCTGTCTGGAAGTACAGAGCTGGCAGCCTCATGATGATAATTGGAATGATTCCCATCATTTCACAGCTGTATATTTTTTAATAACATTTATAACTGACTAAATGAACAATTCAGATTCATGTGCATTGTTCATACTGCATTTATGACAAATAACATGTATTATTGCTCTCCAAATTAACCTTTTTCTTTTTTAAACCCAAACTAAAGATTTGCACATTGAACTGTAAAGATATTTGTAAGTATAATTTCTAATGACTATTTCCATTTTTCCCCTCATTTTAGAAAGTCACAAATTTCTAAGGGGAAAAAAAGAGTTTCTGATTAGTGCTATCTCACATAAACATATACATAATTTAGCAGAATACAGAAAAATCCAACCCTCTAATGCATGTTCTATGAAAAAGTATTTGAACATTGCTAATTATTCATTTGAGATCACAAAGCTTTTCTATAAATTAAGTTTCACAATCAGTGACAAACAAGAAAACCACAGAGAGAACAGAGAGCTGAACAGTACTGTGTTCCCTGATTGAACCAAGCTTTCAAGGCGCACATGCATGCAGGACAGCTGTGTTTTCCAGCTCTGCTGGAGCTAGAGTTGACTAATAATGCAAGCCACCTGCTCACTACTGCAAGGTTACATAGTTGTTCTTTCTCTCTGTCCTAAAAGAGCATGCTGTTTTATGTAGAAAAATGGTTTGCAGTTTGTGGAAGACTTATGGCCAGCAGTCAAGACAAGGTCTAGAAGTGAAACCTTATGCTCTACAGCAAATATATACATAAAGAGATACCAACTGCGCAAAATATTAAGGTAGAAAATGAGCTTGAATATGAATACATTCTTGCTTGGCTCCTTACCTTGATACTTGCAAACGAAACGTGACAAATATGTGACTGTAGCAGAGAAATTTCTTTTGAAGGTCCTGCATGCATTGGATATGGATTGCTGTCAAACTGGTGGTTCCTCTGACACAGTGCAGATAAGTTGATGGTTGTCAGGTCTGTTCCTTCCAAAGGATGCTCACAGCGCTGTGTTGTGGATTCCAATGCAAATGCAAAAGTTTTGTATGTAAATATATGAGAAAAAAATCTTGAATTAATAGTGAACAACAACCTTTCCATTTTACAAAACATACAGTACACAATACATACAGGAGTACCTGTCAAAAACTTTTTTGTTCTTAATCACACTGACATCATATGATGACAAAACCATTAGTAGGTATATTACACTTACAGTAAAGGAAAGGGTAGAACTATGTTGCTTTTGTTTTTATAGTTCCACTGTAGGAGGGTTTAAAACTGAAGTTCTTTTGACTTTCATGCAACATATTTGTATGCTTGGACTTGGTCTCAAAATACAGCTTTTTTTTTGCTTTTTTTTTTTTTTTTTTTTTTTTTTTAATATCAGTAAACATCTAAGCACACAAATGCTCGATCATGTTTTATTTGGTTGAATATGAATATGAGCCAAATACCTGCATTTAACAGAGAGCTCAAAGCACATTTGGCTGCATCCCATGTCCTATATATTCCATTCTATATGGCCATATATTCTGCAGAACACCACCTCAGTTATTTCTGCTATTCACAAGGAACTTGCATCTTGCAATTCCTAATGGAAGCCAGGAGCTGTCAATTATGGGCTCCTGTCATGACATTTTGGGCAGACAATGCCAGCAAGGATTTCCTTGTTAAAGAGCCTCTTTCAGTATTCTGTGAGCAGACTGCCACCATGGATACTTTAGGATCTGAGACAACAACAAAATTCACAGAAAGCCGTCACAGATGGCTTGAAAATATCGTAGCAAGTTGTATTAATATTCTGGGGATTGTTCAAAATATAGCAATACTGCAACTTCTCTTACTCACAAACCTCTTAAAAATAATCTCAGTTTAGCATAATTGTAATATGCATTTTCCAGATGCTGCAATAGACTGCAATAATTAAAGTTAGAATATCAATTCCTTCTATAGCCTTTTTTTTAAAGCCAAATTTCTGTGGTACAAATAATTCAAATTCAGATAATTTCAAGGTTTGGATGCTGACTCAGTCAGTCCTTTCCAGTTCAACTCAGTGTTTGCCTCAAGGAATAGAAAATATTTCATTTTCTTGTTTGACAGTAGCTTTTTTTTTTTTTTTTTTTTTTTTTTTTTTCCTTTCTAACTGATCACTTTTTCTTTCCTCCTTATTTTTCCCTACAGGGACTTGTTTGTAAGACAGGAGTGCTCTTTGCCTGTTCTAACTGTAATTAAAAAGATTATTAGAAAGATTTGTAATTAAAATATACAAAAACCTTAATGAAGAAATACAAATCAGGATGCCTCCACACAAATTAAAAAAATATTGAAAGCAACAATGGAAACATGTTTGTATCAGAATTTTAGAAACATGTTTTCATTACAGATATTAAACACTGCATGATATTTCCTTGTATCATAGAAAAAATAGTTTTGAAAAGTTGTTTTAAACTTATTGGGAAATAAGAATTCTTTGTCACAAAACAAGCAAACATTTTTTGGAAGTACTAAGAAAATATTTTATGACCTCCATCTTACTCTGTTTCCCACCATCTTTCTCTAAGCTCAGTATTTCACTGGTATGCATTGACATGATGTCTTATTCTCCCTCTCTTATTATTTACCAAACACCAATACCAAGTGGGTACCACCAGCTGTCTCCAACATCTTGGGAATTGGAGCTACTACTGCTCCCACCCAGCCTCTTTTTCCCAACCAGCTGTGCAGAGACCAAAGGAAGAGAGCAATAAGCATGTCATGAGTACTCAAAGACTTTCTGTTTAGGTTGAGGTACACTTGGCATAAGAATGAAGCTATCTAAGCCTCAGAGAGCCTCTAAATCATACCCATTTGCTCAGTGAGGTTGTTTTGGCACTGGAGAGTAACTGGCATTATGCCTTTCTGCAAGGAAGAATTCACTGAGCTGTTGTTTTTCTGTCTGGTGTCTCATCTTTGCACTTAGGAATCTCTGTACGTCTCCTCAATCATTCCCAGAAACAACCAAAGGAAGACAGAATCTCCATCAGCTTCTACATGCAGAGGCAGCTGAAAGTTTATAGCCAGACAAATCTAAGAATTCAATATATTTCTAATCCAGCAGAAGCATGAAATAAATAAAGCATAAAATTACTAACCATTCTGGATGATATGAACACTCTGAAAGCCAGAGGAAATACTTCAAATACACAAAGACAATATCAGCATGCCAAGCCTTTGGAGCAATGTTACATTCCGTACCTGAATGGCATGAAAAAAAAAATAATAATAAATTAAAAACCAAACACACGTATGGCATATAAATGATTTAAAAACTACAATACCAGCTCTTCTATCAAAGAAAAGTAATTTAAAAAAAAAAAAAATGTCCAGTCTCGAGAAGGTACAAAAAATTCCCTTGCCAAGTCTACATATGCTATTGAGAGGAAAATTTAAAAGGGAGGTTGAAGTTTCTTCCATTAATAGCGTGGATATTGCATGTATGGTTAAGAAAAAGGATAGGGTAATTTTACACACACTTTCTCCTTTCCTTTCCTCGAATTTCACCTGTCCCTTATTCTCTTCACAACAGAATATCTTCTGGCCTTAACTACTGCAGCTCTACATGATGAAATCCTTAGATATCTAATTCAGTTCCCTACAATGTGTGCAAAGATAAATTATTCCTTTTTCTGCTACAGCAATGTTTACTGGCAAAGTTATTTACTGTAGGGTTTCTAGACTGGACAAGAAGGTTCCCATGGACTTATGTTTAAGTAGGATGTTTAGACTAACTTAACCATCTAAAAGTAAGCACAACCATTTCATAGGCTAAAAATATTGTTTTTTAAATAGTCTGCAGCTGAAAGCAATAATAAATGAATGCAGTAAAAATGACTAGTTTAGCAATGTTTCATTTTCAACTGTAAGTACACTCCACAAAAACAGCATGGTTTGGGATTAAATGAAAGTGGATATGCATCAAGAAATCAAAAAATAAAAACAAAATCAAATTTATCTTGCTTGATTTCACCTAACCCTTGTCTTAGTATGTCAGCACATTTGCAGATAAAGAGGCTTGAATACCATTTTGGTTCTTAACAACCACTATGAGACCACAGAATCAACAAATGCGCAGGACTGATTTTGTCCAGCTAACTGCAATCCCTCATTGTAACTTTACAATTTCTGCACTGTCTTTGTTTGTAGTACTACACGTTTCTTTCAGAGCATCTCCTAGAAGTAGCACTGAATATTTACAGTTTTCGTTTACGTGAAGGATAAGCATCAGACTTTAAAGCACGTAACTTGTTACAGAGTTAAAGAGGTCTGACAATAGGGCTGTGTGTTTCTAAAACACACATACCAGCTGCCTGTACATAGTGATGACAGACAATGTAGTTAGAGGGATTCACCCAGGGAAGAACAGTTTTCTTGAAGTGGCAAATAATAGATAATTACCAGAGACATGAGTTACCACAAAGGGAGATAATATGCTCTAAAGAACATTATAATGTATCTAGAAAAATCAAATTAACACCGCTTTCAGAAAACTCCAGCAAACACACAAGTTTTTACATTTTTCAAGTGTTTGTTATTGTTTCCAGGCCCACACAGAACTGAGACTGCACTGACATCTTAAAATTACAGTATGTCCATTTAGTTTCAGGGTGCAAATAAAGAAGAACACAGCAATATCTGGCAACAGTGCCTACCCCTGTTGCTAAAATTGGAGATTTTTCACTGCTTCCTCATTGCAATCACTTTTAAAATAGTGAATCCCCTTTTCCAGACACAAGAGTGCCTTTAAACCTCCCAGAAAATGTCCTGCAAGCTGGTAATTAAAAGTGTTATTTCACATTTCATTACATAAGTGATATTTAAAGATGATCCAGGAAGATATTACTGTATCATCACCTCGATATTTTAGCTGTAAACAACGTAGCTCATGTAATATACTACACATACATGAAATACCATTCAGTACCTTATTTTGAGTGCTGAAGATGCCAGACTTGTTCTGATTTGCAGCATCGCCTAAGTAACAGTTTCAAAATTGAGAACGTGAGACCTCCAGTAACAAATAGAAGTTGTGAGCAGTATGCTGTCATTTCAGTGATGAACAAAAGCATAGTTCAGCAAAAAAAGATCTTGCTTCTCACCATTTGCTCTGAACTTGTCATTTTCTCTTTGCAAGCTTTCTTCATCATCTGTAACTACTTAGCATGGCCATGTGACTGGGAATTATAATATTATGCTCCCTCCAACTATGTGTCATTAAAATTACTCAACTTTGCTTTTCGATTCAAAGTCAGTTCATCTGCTGAGTATTTCAACTGTCTCTGAAGTGCAGCCCCAAGAATATATGAGCCTTAAACATACTGAAGGCTACAACAAAGCTGCACCTGTTCTTCCAGAGTGCCAGAAAGCCACAGCAACACCTGAACAATTGAGGTACTTCAGTCAAGATCCATTTTTACCTGTCAGTTCAGTCCAGGGCTTCTTAATGGTAAATAGATTCAGGTTTCCTTTCACACTGCCTTGTGCTGGGTTATTCTCATATTCTGTCCTGTAAGCCACGCAGAGACAATTGCGAGGAAAGAGCTCTCTGAGACTTCAGTCTGTCCTGCGAATTTGAACAAAACCAAACATGCTCTGATCAGTTTCCTTGCCTCATTGGAGTCAATCCTGGCTCTTTTTATGAGCCAACCTGTGCTTTTCACCAGCTGAAAAAAAAAAAAAAAAGTGCAGAGTTTGTAATACAAAAAGCTACTGCAGTTAATCAGAGGACTTAGTCCAGACTAACTGTTCCAAAATGCCCCTTCTGGAGACTTTCTTTAGAATAAAAGAGGATTTTGTTTTACTCGTGCTGGAATAAACCCTTGTAACCTTTCTTTTTTTTTTTTTTTTACTGAAGAATTCACTATGGTAATGACAAGTACAGTTGTTCTATCAGTAGCTAATAGAGAAGCAAAACATAATGCTCTCCAAGACTCCAGGACATGTTTTGGATCTATAAATCAGTGTTCACTCATTCACTATATTAGATTCTTGAGGAATCTTTAATATTCTTGTGCTATAAAACTGTTGCTCATGTACGATTGCCACAAGACTCTGTATCTGATACTGCCCACCACTAAGCAAAGTCATGATAGTAAAACATATTGTACTGGCCAACCCTTTTTTTTTTTTTTTTTTTTTTTTTTTTTTTTTTTCCCCCTAAACAAAAAAAAAAAAAAAAAAAAAAAAAACAGCAAAAAGATCTAGGTTTGGTTTAAGGCAATGAAAAAATTGCTACAGAAAGCTTAAAATTTAAGACTTCAAGAACAGAATCACTAGAATTTTGTGAGGGTGTATTTTGGAAATGCAGAAAAGCACAGCAACTGCAATCAATATTTGCAGGATCACTAACATGGACTATATTCTCAGGCCAGTTCTTTTCTAACTTTGGCTTTATTCCCATGTTACAGTTCTGAACTCAATATACTTCAAAATATCTGACATCAGAATCTTGACCCGAGAGGCGACCTACTTGGAGACAGAAGAAGAAACATTTTTCTCAATTCAGTTCCTATTCATACGTGATTTTTTTTTTTTTTTTTAATAATAGCAACTGAATGGGTTAATCAACAAGCTTTCAATCAGCAAAAAGCTCTAAGCAATTGTCTCTGTTAAAATTCTAAAGCTGGGTTATCTGAGCAAGCCTCTGGCATATTACAATTTGTCCTATTCCAGTCTATATCCAAGGGAAATTGATTTATCAGATAAGGAGAAGTCTGAAACAAATATATCAGGGGAAATCAGTGCTCTTTGTAGAAAAGTGGCAGTGAAATTTCAGCCACTTGTCAATCTCCATCACAGTGGTTTGTCAGTACCTGAAATATGAGGTTCTAAATAGAATGGCAATAAAATGTATATTACAGACTACTCTCAATTTCTACAAGTACAGAAGAAATTCGGTATTTAACTCTCCTCTGAAAAATACATCATGTATTTATTTATCTTATTTTCTGGATAACTGTTTCCAAATATGCAAAAATTGAGGAAAAACTGAAGGAAAGAAATGTTTACTTTTAGAACAAGAAGTTAATTACTGAAGGATTATTTTACTGGGATATAAAGTGTCATTTCTAGCAGACTATCATAAAAACAAATTCCTCATCAACGGAACAATATTCCCTTCTCCCTGCTATTTTGCCATTATAGCCAAGCAATTTTGAGTTTATTTTTCCCTGATATTTTCCTTTTTTTCACTCATTTCAAATTCATTAGTAAAAGATATATTCATTAAACATGCTTTAATTGCTGATTCTGATCTCTGATTTTAAATTTCTGATTGCAGCATTGCTCTGTATTACGAACAACACAAGACCCATCTACCACTGAAATCTGTTCTACATGCAGATTGGTACTTTCTTACCAGCTGTAGCTCTAGAGCGATCTTTCTCACATGCTCTGGACAGATTTGTTTTCCTTCAAACTCTCTTCAAATACATTATTTAATCTTCACGAAGACCATATAACAGCTGTGTTGAATGAACTAATAAACCCTAAGGAATTATGCTTTAGTAGTTTATATTACTGCCCTTAGCTCCAGCCCCAGCTGCCCTGACAAAATTGACTGTCCTCCCAGACCACTGGCATGTTAGAGGGAAAACCACATTATCAGTGTTTCCATACCAAACTATTTCATTTATGTACTAGATACAACAACGCGGATGTAGATTGCCAGTTAACCCCTTCTATCGTATCCCATTTCAGCTTAAAAACAATTAATGTGTACTTCAGTGTTTCTCATGTACTTCCAAATTCCGTAGTACGCAGACTTGCAGTTAAGCAGGCTATTAAAATTTATCTCATTTCTGGTAACAAGGAAGATATGCGCCACCTGGATGTCTTTAAACAAATACATCCCCAGTATATATAGTACACATAAATAGATACTGTTTAAGATATGAAATTATGTGTTCATTATGCTCTTACAGAGAAAACAGCAAACTGTGTTTACAGCTTAAATTTGGATTTTCTCATCTTGAGCAGTAGTATGAGATTTTATCAAGAAGTCTTGAACATAACACTCATACTTAATGCAGAATCAGAGAACGGCATGTTTGTGTTTCCTGTTGTTATCCAAATCAGACAAATGCTTTGGACTCCGGCCAGAGTTTTCAACTCCTTTAACCGTTTCAGGTTTACATTCAGTCTAATAATTATGCATTTATCTCTTAACTCTTGAAAAAGACTTTGCCAGGGTAATTTTCACAATAGAAAAATTTCCTTTTGGACAGTTTCAACCAATGTATCCCTTCCACGAATCTGGACTTTTTCCCCTGGCCCAACCCAATTAGCTTAGAAATCTTTTCTTAATCTCATCACAATTGCACTAAGATTTATTAGTGTCTGCACTGCACAAGATGCCGAGTTCTGCTTACAGAAGAACTCTGCCAGTATTCTTGTTGTCCCAGTAACATAACTGCTCTGACTAGTCACTAAGATTTCTGTCCAAATCTCAGTCCATTGCAAAACAGCAGTGTGAGACTGCTGAGTAATGCAGTTAGACTAAGAAAAAGTATCTCCAAAAAGGCCACCATACAAAGCAATCCATACACACCATTAGGTACGTCAGGCAAGGAATATTACTTTGACCTACTTAGTATGTTTTTACACATTCACTTCTTCCTCAGAAGTGAACTGTTAGATCTCGTAACATAACTTACATTATCACTTAATGATACCTGACATTTCTTTTTCTTTCCAAAGATGTTCTGAGCTTCTGTGGAGGTCTCTGCTTTTAACTAACTTCTGATGTTACGTTTGCCTCAATTGCCTACTTTGTGCAACACACCTGAAATACTGAAGAGAACATGAATTGCAGCCTTCTGTAACAGGAAATCTAGACAGCCACAATTTTTTATTCTGCTATTTTTGTTTAAGTTAGAACAGAAAAGGAGCAACTATTGAAAAATGCTCATTAAAAAATTATATTTGAAAAGATAGATAAATAAGTATTTATTTAAATACTTTGAACCTGTTCACACAAGGCGCTTTAATGCTTTTGTCCTCTCCCACAACAAAGTACCTATTTTATTTTATTTTTTAATTCTACCAAATTATCATAAATATTCTACTAAAGGCACAAGAGTGCTAAGCTCTGCTGACAGCTTTCCTCATGTTACATACAGAATGGGAATAATGGTAAAAAACATGAGGATACATTCACACTGAGATGCTTAAAAACAATGTTGGAGAGGCTACATACATTTGTAGTCACAAATAACAGATGGTCTTAACTTAAAATTAACTTAAAATTATTAAAATTATGAGTTATTTTCATTTTCATCAGTATGGTATGAACTTCTCATAGTATATAGGTTGTGTGTCAAGGCCATGCATGGTATTAGCTCAAGCAGGCTGAAGATGATGGCCGAACTGAAATAAAAGTAAAGATTAATTTGACACAGTGTTTTTCTTCAATCAATATCATGGACAACTGTTTGTGAATTTGTGTGCGAAGCCAATAAAGTTAAAACATACATATATGCACACACACAAATCAAATTTAACCATGGGCATCAAAAAGCTTCCTCAGAGCTAGATTTTCTCTGAACAAAGAGACATGTGATGCTTGTTTTGTATTTTTTGTGAATTTACTACTATATGGCTGTTTTCTTCTAACTGACAGCAGCACTGACAACTCTGAACAGTGACTGAACTGTTCTGACTGTTCTCCAATTTTTTCACTATTTCGGTTCCTTAAAATGTATAAGCAGCAATCCGAAGCATTGCAATTTCTGTGATCCAAATTCACTATCTGACAAAAAGCAACAGAAGATCAGGGGCAATACACTGTTATCCCCAATCTAGAGATTTTCTAATTATTCAGCTTAAGAGGACCAGGAGGAAAGGAATTTCCTCCAAACAGATGACTGAGCTACTGAGCCTGGAAATCGTATCACTGTCTATCACGTGTCATGTTTTAGATGTACCTGGAATTTTTTGTTTCATTTTTAATTTTTCATTTTCCCATGCCAGATGATCTCTCTGAGGGTGAATCATGCTATTTATGAGACACTGAAGACGAGAAGTTGAATATATATATATACATATACATATATATTATTATTATTATTATCTACATTAAGTTCACATGCCTTTTGTTGGAAGAGCTGGAAAAAAGACTGTTTGATAATTGAATCACTGCGCTTCCATACTGAAGTCACTTCCTGATAAGCAGCCAAACTTGTTTTGTAAAATAAATAAATGAGAGAGCTTGAATAACTCAGTTTTCTTGGCTGGTCACAATCAGTGCTGTATTATTCTGACTAATACCAGAATAACACTGCTGCAAACTCTAATACTTCACTCCAAAATAATATACAGAATTCAACTAAGAATCCAATAATCCAACTGTCAAAGATTCTCACAGCTTCAATCTGAGCCTTTTTTTTTTTTTCCTCTCCCAGATTTTCTTCACTAAAGTGAAGCCCTGCGCAGGTTTGACAGAGAAATAGATTCTATTGTCACCAAATGTAGGTTAAATACATGCATCTCTATACCAAATACACTACAGACTTCTGACAGTGGCACCAGTGACAGGAAGTATCGCTATCCTGAAAAGACAACTGGTTCAGGAAAAAGCAATCCACACCAACACCACCACCACCGAGAAGCACACAGCTTCAATTTGCATCTCACAAGCAAATAAGCATGACCATCCTGCTGACTTTAAAAAGCAGGCCAGCTGGAATGAGCAGATTATAAGGCCAAACATAGGTGAATGCATGTGCAGAACCTTTGAACATACATGTAGTCAAAGAGAACATAAAAACTCCAAGCATCTCCAAAAAGCTATTTGGAAGTTCTATTAAAGCTGTTCCTGATGTTTTACTGGAAGTAGTTCCCATCCTCAATAAAGTACTTTCATGTTCTGCCATCACGTCAGTGAACCTTTGTAGTCATAATTTGGCTTCTACAAAAAACCAAGCCAGATGAAGTAGCTTTCTTCTTTTCACTTTTATAGTAACTGTTTTTCAATGTTATGACTTTAATTCAGAACAGTTGAGTGCATTTTTTTTTAATGTCAATTGAATTTAGAGTAATTGTAAGCTTGAAAACCTTCTTAAAAGTTCTGCTGACTAGAAAACATTCAATTTCAGTATTTTCTTCATCTTTAGAAGATTGATAATTGATCTCCTACTTAAAAACTATTAATCCTTTATGGAAACACTCTTAAACGTAGCTAAATACTTCTGTATCAAAAGATGATAGACTCTCAAGTGGAAGTAATAAGATTTGCAGATGTTCTTCACTGAATCTAACACATTCTTGGTTCTCTTCATCCTGTGTGAAGCAGGAGTTCCTACTTAAAAAAGGCTTTTCTGTACCTACCCCAGTCACTGAGGCACAAAGTCAAAGCAAGGCAACACAGCTTAAATTACTTTAAAATATTCTTCTGTCAAACAAGCTAGCTGATTTTATAATGAAGTGCTGAAAGAGCATTCAGGCAAGTAGAATGCACCACAAAGAGGCAGCAACAGTAGTTTCCAAGCCAATATGTACTTGAAATAACGCATCAAATCACCACTCAGCATATTTCATCGATCCATTCAAAAATGTTACAAGGGGCCTTACTGTGTAAAAGGACTACATCACTGAGAACATAAGCCTTATAGGAGCCTATCTACAGCATCAAGCACAGTGATCACTGATCAGCCAAGACACTCGACCAAACGGCTTAACATTCAATCTTATAAAACGTTATTCCCTGGTAAGAGCAACAACTGTTTCCCTGAAATAAAAAGACCCCTACACTAACATCACAGGTTTTAGTCAGGAATCTATTTTTAAAACTAAAATAGATGTGTTCTTTGGTATGGTGAAACTGATATCAAACAGTGCATTAAATCAGGCGTTTACACTGACTAGGCACCAGAAATTGAATTGCTAAAGAGGCAGCAGCATCCAAGTTCAGATGTAAAAAGTCTTACTCTAGAATAGCCCTTAGTTTTGATGATTACTTTAAAACAGCAAAAGGCTGCATTTCCAGCTTCACTGTACACTGTATTTGTGCCTGACAAGTTCTGTGCTGAAAGCAGGAGATATGATACAGAAGCAACTCCACCATTACCACTCCTTTTAGTTTGATCCCAGCTGACTTTTACTATATGCATCTCCACGGTTATATCAGTAGCTTGTGAACAATCTGTAACAGCTGGAAGAATAGCATTAGTGGAGCATAATAATATTTCAGAAAACATAAGGTATTGATTAAAAAAATACGTTTTGCAGATGAATTTCTGTAGAAAATATTTCCTACCTAACCTGACTCCAATAGGAAACAATTTCACTTTTTATTAAAGTGTGCACCATTGCCAATTGTGAAACAGGGTGTAAAAAGTGTACCAGTGAACACCGACAACCTGCAGTGATGTCATCTAAGCAGTATAGGGAGTTCTAGAGAATCGATAATGAAAATGTGCTGCCACTAAGTTTATTCTTTTAAGTAGAAGAGCACTTAACGTCGTGCACAGCAAAGAGATCGTTCTTTAGACCACACTAAAACACTTTCACAAATGCTATTGATATTAATTATTTCATATTTTAAATGATTTTTTTAGTTCATTTTAAAGTATAGGGAGTAAATTTCTGTTTACAGATGTAATTTATCATCAACAGACTAGAGTAACACCCACCTTCTGGTTACTGTGGCTAAGTGAAGGCCACAAAGAACAACTGTACAAATACCTAAGGGCAATTTTCAAAATGATACCTACTTGATGCTATCTGAATTGCTCTGAGGCTATTTCTAGTGACTTATTATACAAATGCCTGAATTATTGCCACATGATACTGCCTCATAAGTAGTAAACACTGAGCATTTTTCTTATTTGTTCCTCCATCCTCCTTTAACCTCTTGCTTCCTAGGGCAAAAGTACACAAACAAAGGAACGTTCCGTATGTTTGCAACATAACTGTTACCACTTCGTCTCTCAGCAAATTCAGTTTGCAAGTATTTGGCTACAGTAAGAGATGATGTGATTTTTACTGGTTGATTTTTGTTGTTTTTTTTTTCCACCCAGAATGAACTCTCACACAAAATTGAAACCAAATCCAACTTACTTGTCATAATCAGTGCTAAAATGAGTAAATCACTATTAAGTATAATTATTTATTTCTAACCTATCTTACTCCAAACTACCTAAAGGATAAGGACCACACACTGTAGGAATCTGAAAAAAGACACAAAGATTTGAACTGGAATGTTTACAGTTTTACCTCAAAAAAAAAATAAGTATTTTAGCCAGCTAAAACTGTTGAAAAACTGTAATTCTTGAAAGACAGAAGAGAGAAGGATATTGGCTGACTGACAGGCTTCATAAATCATCTGTCAATATTCTACACAAATTGAACCTTAGCAGCTAGGGTAGCCAAAGCATTATCTGTAGGAATACGTACCCAGTGCCACACAAAGCCTTTGAAACTAGAAGAGCAGGATAAAAGCACTGTATGATGGCGATTTAGCTAGAGATGTTACAATGGTAAGCATTCAACCAGTAAATTTCAAGACGGAGCAAGATAATATCATGATATTTAAGAATGATGGCTTTCTTTCAGATTTATTAGAAACATCTTAATGCTGAAGCTATCATAGTGCTCATAAACATCAGGAAATGAATCACACCAAAAAAGCATCTAAGGTTTAACTTGTCACTGCAAAAATAGCTTGGTTTTAAAATGTTCAGGAAAGTGTCTTTAAAGCTTTGAAGCTAATTTACTGATCAACTAATCTTATCAACACAAACATTATCAAGGTCTAGAAAGCATGCTTTTACATCAATCCTACTATATTAGCATGTTGGTTCTAAAAAAATAATTTTTAAAAAAGAAAGGATCTGATTCTAGATAAGAATGGATGTTCGCTGATCAAGAATGACAGAGAAGTATACATATGATTCTGAACAGCAGTTTCAAAATTCTTTCCTTTGTCGTAATATCATTGCGTATTGACAGGCTCCTAGAAACTTTTTGGGAAACAAACCAAGTTATCCAAATTAAAAAAAAAAAAAAAAGACTGCTACCTGCCATATAAAACCATAACTCAGCCCATTGCTAGAAAAAAGGTAGCTGAGTTTGCTCAGCTTTTGGACTTTTAGCAACTGATTTTGAAAGGCAAAGTACTGTGAATGAACTCTTCCCTACGCATATGTCTAATTGGAAAAAAAAAAATTGAATCTGTCTCTCCTGCCTATATCATTAATTAATCTATGCATCCATTTTGCAATGAAACCATTGTTTCACTGCTGTTCATTCACTGTTACGTACTGTCAGTTTAAATTATTATTCTATGACTGAACTAGAATTAAAGCTATGGTCAAAAGTCTACTTAATAAAAGAAAGAAGCAAAGCAGCTAGGCTGGAGTCATAGGGTGATTGAATAAAAAGAAAGAAAAAATGAAAAGGATACAGAGAGCACAAGAGAAGACAAAAAGTAATATTTATTAAGGTAGACAAATTTTTACCATTTCCCAGTCACGATCATAGATGAAACGTTTTCAGTGAATAATCTTGAATAAAGAAAACAACTATTGTTGGAAAACAGAGAATATGTTCTTAAGAAAGATCTGATGGAATAGAGGATAAACTAAAAATACACAGGAATTGCAGTGAAATTCAGCAGTGGGGAACTTTTTTCTAATATGGTCTGATTTCTTAACAGACTGAACGCATCAAGGACTCAGCTTTGACAGCTTGATTCTCTTCTCTTCTGTAACCTGGTTTAAAAGAGCTTTGTTCCATGTCTGTTTTTTTTTTCACTGGTTCCACAGCCAGCTGTCCATCTAAGCACTAAGAGTAATGTTGGTCTCTCCTGCCTCAAGGCCAACCAACACCAGACGGGGTGGCCAGAAACACGCTTTAATTAAGTAGACTGTTTCATTTCAGTAACATTACAAAACACACAAACATCTCTTCCCTCTTCATTAGGTCACAGAGTAAGTAAAATCTTTGAAGTGATATTTAAAACAAATTAAAAGTTGCACTCACTTGCTTGTTCATATACAGTATTCAGCCAGCAGTGTTCTGTACCAAACAGTCGATAAAGCAGACTCCTAAGAGAAAACAGAATATTCAAAAAGGGATTTAGTATAGACAGCAACGACAGAAGCTCGATTACATAGTCCAGCATATTGAAAAAACAGTTTACTAATCACAGTCATAGTATACATTGACATATTCGGTGCTATTTGATTTAGGATTTGTGAAAGACACAAGGAACTATGCAATTTTGATGGCAGTTCTGATGCAACATCAAGCATTGAATTATTTGCACTAGACAAACACGGTCATACAGTACTAAGCTAGAAATTAAGCTTGATGAAATTCAGATATCACGCACTGCATAAACTACAACATCTTTTTTCCATCTTACTGCAAAAACAGACAGCAAATTTTTTTTTCTTTTTTTTTAAAAAAAAAAAAAAAAAAAAAAAGAATTTCCAGATGCCTCCCCGTTTTAAACTTTCTCAAAACGGTCATGATGTTGCTGATTTTGATACAATAAGACAGAAATACATGATCAGATATTATTTGTTCACACCACTTATTATAAGGGCTCTTTCTATAATAAATGACAAATTCACTACTTTGTCTGTAAGACTGATGTGCAAAATGCCATGCACACATACACACAGAAAGTCTATTTTGCTCATTTTCCATACCGGTAGAAATTCTAATATTATGTTCACAAAGCTTTGGAGCAAACATCACTCCTTGTGGGAGCAAAAGGGCTTTGCAGTTTTTATTGAGTCCTGAAAATTTTTGCTTCTAGAAGTGCCCACTTAATAATAAGAAAAAGAAAAAAAAAAAGACCCAACAGAAGTTGCTTTGCAATGCAGGATCACTCAGATGTAACCGTTAAAAAAGAAATTAGAGTAAAATGAAAGCAAACTCTAGAACCAACCTAGGGAAAAGTAGTCATATGAATGAGAAGTAGTTGCACTTTCCACAAAGATAACTTTCATATGGCAGATATCCAGAAAAAAATGTATAGAAAGTTCTTGAACTCATTTGTAGCAGAATTGAATTGACTTTTCTCTTTTAATACAATATCCTTGGAAGGACATATCAGCATCGTGCATCAGATAGTCTGCTCAGTGTTTTTCCTAGCTAATGACTACAATCCCACATCTTATTGTCACAACACTCCAGAACTTTGCTATGCAATGCAAGCACAAAATAAAAGGAGACTCTTCCCCAAAAGATTTAGTTACCAAGTACAAAATCTCCTTTAAAGAAAAGTGAACATTGTATCTTCCTAACAAGATCCTCTCAGAATTAAAGCAATGATTCACCACCGGAGATTAGCATTTATTACCATTAAAATTATCCCTGTAAAATTCATATGCCTGTCCTGATTCTAACAATTTATAGCTCTGTTAATTCATGTGAAATAACCATATAAACTGCTTCTAAATTAAGAACTCCTTCAACTATATTATTGCTATCTGCATGTGAATTCAATTTAAGTTAATGAGAATGGCATTCATTAAAGAGAGCTTAAGGACGTGCCTAGGAACATGTAGCATGCAAACTCCAAGTTTTGCCCTAGTTCTTCAACTCAGTAAATAGGCTCCCACTTAAAACCACATTTCTACACACTTTGCAGCCCAACTTCCTACACATTTTCTATGGAATAAGGTAACAAATTTCTGGGAAATTCAAATGGTTAATTTTTGTCAATTTGTTTCAAATTCAGGTCAGTTTTCATTGAGGTAAGCCCTTTTCAAGCTCAGCTAAGAAGGACTACATGCCAAACAAGTTTTCCCAAGTTTAGTATCTCTCAGGTTAGGATCTGCCAAACTTGGCTTACAGTAGAGCTGGAATTACAGTTCCGTAGGGCTTGGATTGTAATTAAACATTGGATATTTAGTTTAATAAATGTAACACACGAGAACATTTCTTAGAACACGTACTGCTGTATCATCATAGCTGGTTTTAAAACATGAGCTCTACGCTGCACAACAGCAGACATCGTTAACTACAAAACTAGAAAAAACATTTGTGCATTTTTCATCTGCGTTCTAAACCATATTAGAGGTAACCAATGTATTATCATTCCTTTAACAGATCACGAGTAAATGTTAACAAGGGCTGCACAGAAAAGGTTGCCCTGAAAAGACATTAATGATGCTTAATCCCTCAAAAATAAATAGTGTCTGACATGATACAGTCACTTTAACTAGGAAGAAGTATTCTGGCAGTCGCATGAATAATGTATCAATGATGAGTTACAACATTTGTTCAAAGCAGACCGCTATTATGGTAAAAAACACAATTCATTAAGCAAGATAAACTTATGTACACATATTTCATAAAATCCAGGCAGTTAAATAAGTTATCACCCATGGAAGAGAGAATGGAAATCCTTTTTCGCACCATACCTGGCATAGAAAGAACATAAGAGAGAAGCAAAGAAAGGAAATAATTCAAAATTAGAGCAAAATGACTCCTCTTATCAACTAAATCTATTGCTGCCAATAGCAATTTGGCAGTTAGTAGCTTTAAAGAGGAGAGAAATGAATCTACGTAGACCAATCATACTCTGATTCTGCAGAACAACAGATTTACTTCAAATCTCTGCTTTTAAATTTTTAGAAGTTTAAATAAAACTCCATTTTTCTTTTCTTTTTCCAAGTTGTACACCTGCTGCCCTTTGTTTCTTTGTTTAGTTAATCATTTGTTTTTTCCTATTCTGCAGTGAATTTTTCTTTTCCTAACAATAGCTCTCATTCAGGAACTCCCTTTTATCCCACTCTGTTTACACGTACTATAAACAGAGTCAGATTAACTTGGGAACACATTCTCAGAATTGTCTGTATTATCTTGACTTCTTCAGAGCATGTCTCCTCCTCATTTGACCCCAAGACAAAATCTTCCGCCGTGCAATGAGAATCCTGAGAAGGACTGTGAACCACACAGACTTGCTAAGGATACATGGGAATCCTGCTGGTCTTTAGCCTACTTCTACTATGGATCCTGCCATTAGCCTCAAGAAACATTAGAATGAATGCATGACAAGTACCAGAACATTCTGGGGCCAATACTTCCAATGAGAAATATAATTAAAATTGATGGACGTTCTAATTAACACCTATGATGCCTTGCTCAAGGAAGGGATTAGCAAAGGTAGAAACAAGAGCTTTTCTTACAATGGACATATTACATTAAAAGCTAAGCGTTGTCAGTTGATACACTTCCTTTACTCTATGTAGTATAGGCTACATCAAGTTACAACAAATTTCTTTCAGTGCTGACAAAATACTATTACATTGCAGTGGTCTGGTTTTAAAATTCTCCTTTTCTGTGCCTGCAGATCTACTAAAGTAATCACTGCTCATCTTTCCACTCTTCTTTTGATTTAATACTCGCATAGAAAAATTCTTAGAAAAAAACAGCACAATGGTTTTTGTTTTCCTTTTTTTCCCCCTAAGCTGTGATGGTTTAAATTTAACAGTGGAAATTCTATAAATTTCTTAAATGATTTTTACTACTTCTTCCCTGATTCCTGATGACTCATTTAGTCAGAAAATGGGGCTAATACTGCAACACAGGATCCAATCTCAGGTCATTACAGCGACTCAGATTGCCTGAGGCACTAAGTTTAAGTCACACAGATTGGACCATAAAGGTGAGTTGAAATGCTGTCTGTGATGCTGTTCATCGCAGTTAAATAAGTTCAATCAATTGCAAGTGTAATGTTGGTAAGTACATGAAACTCCTTCTTCATCTGTAAAATCAGGTCATGGACTACTTCTTGAACATTTAGCAAAAGAGCACAAGATCGTGACTCATCAAGCTTGTTTTTGCCCAGCAAGTGCAAGAATACAAGTTTTTTGCCTCCAACTTTTGCTATATTTGTTAAAAAGTCTAGGAATAGCACATTTTGTTCAGCACTCTGTATTTTCTGCTATACCAGTATAAACACTAAAAATCAGAGCAATTGCTGCTTTTGCAAAGAACAAGCAAAGAAGAAGTTGCAATTCTGCATGACAGTTAACTCAGGGAAGTCCCTTACTGACAGCATAAAAACTTCATGCTAGTTCTCATCTTTCTCCACAAAACTACATAGAAAGCTGCTAGAGACAACCACTAGTAAAAGAAACCAAGTGTTCTATACTACTAAATTCCGCAGTGCTGGGAAACTCTGGTTCCCACACACAAACCTCTGACTGTAGAAGAATCATTCTCACTGGAAAAAGCACTGCCCTGTGCTACAGCATCGTCATGCTGGGTAGAAACTGATGCTAGACCAGCACGTAAAATGGCAAGACTCAGCCCAGTGCAGGAAGAAGAGAACTCTGCCATTGCTACTAAAAATTAATTTGAAATATATACACAATAAATCTGCTTTGTCCATTTTTTTTTTTTCTACCATAGTTTTAGCCTATCATATAGCACCTCTTCCCACTATCAGGAAGAAGAAACATTTATTTTGGGATGTGAGGGGATAAGGAGGAAGAAGTATTAGATTACACCTACAGCAGTGAAGCATTTGAGACCAGTCTGTTTTCTGAAGAAGGTAGGTACTTGGCTTATGTATTTGAGATTCCAAATGCAGTGTTACACGTGGCTGCTCTGCTCAAGTGAGTGAGGAAATGGAGACACAGAAAGGTAAAAATGTTTCCTTAAATACATATTAAATTCAGTCCCTACTGTTAGAGTGAAGATTAATGTTTCCGTCCAGCTTCTGGGCTATCCTTTCACTTATCCCACAGTTAGGTAAAGAGTAAAATGTAAAGAGAAAAATATGCCAAATTTACAAAACCTATGTAGTACTATAAAACAAATGAAAGGGAAATAAATCGCACAATTTGGTCTACTCTGTTTAGATTATTTCCGACAATATGTAAAGAACAGTTCAGTGAGCAGCATCACCTCAGACAATCAGCATTACTGATGTTTTCCTACTACTCCAATTTTCTAAAGGGTACATTATTAAGTTCAAGAGAATGCTTAGCCCCTTTAAAAATATATATATATATATTACAATAATTGAGTAACTTACAAGGAAAACTGGAGAGTTTGACAGAATAGATTCCAAGTAATTCCA